TTAGGAATAGCACTGAGTCAGTTCTGTGACCAACTGGTCAAGGGCATCTAGCCTTATTTCAGAATTCTTTCGCTTAGATTCAGTTCAGATCTCCTGCAGAAGTGATCTGTCCCTTCCTTGGGAGCATGTTGAGTGGGAAGGAAGAGAAGAGAGAAAAGGAAGTGGTAGAAAGAGAAAGGCCCATCCACTTTAGGTTCAGCCAGTGTCCAGACCTCCACAGGTTACCCACCAAATCACTCACAAGGAAATGTGCCTCTCAGTGAAAAAAGCTTGCTTATTGCAACACTTTCTGCTTTGAATGCCCCACCCGCCAGATTTCATTCCCCAACTCAGGATGCTATATAATGTGAGCCTTCTTTTTCCTCCCATTGGATGATTCTTCAGTATCAGAACCAGTGCAAACTGGTTCAGTGCATGAGCCCTTAGTTCCTGCTACTGATGTCATATCACTCCCAAATGTGGTAGGTAGCCTTAGGCAAGCCATTATCTCTGAATTTCAGCCCTGCATTTTTGATAGGAGCATTCACAGACCAGGCATATTGCAAGGATTACCACAATAATAAATGTGAAGTTCTCCAGGCACTTAGGAAATTGTTCTGTAAAAATTCCAAAAAATGATATTATTTCTCCCTTATGGTGGTAGCAATAGTAAAACCTATCCAGTTTCCAGATTTTTAATTTTTTGGGGGAGTGGTTGAGAATTCATACATCACAATTAAGTAGCAAAACTGAAAGCTAGACTATTTGAAGGAAACATGGCAAAAGGGTGTCAGTAATGTTATTCCAGAAGCAAGCTGTTGCAGACATATTTAGAGTCATAATCAAGGTTGTAGTGGAGGAGGCCCGGGGGGGGGGGGGGTCAGAGCACCCCCACTTATTTTGGAGGGGCTCCTCAGGGAAGTTGCTGGATCCCTGAAGCCAGGGTCACTGTGCCTCCGCATGGCCTCTCAAGAGACTTAATTTAGCTGGTTTGTGGTTGGGAGCTGCCACTCAGTTGGACTCCTGAATTTATCAGGTTAACAGCAGTGGGTTGTTTTTTTTAACAGTTCCCATTAGTTCCTGGGAACTACCTATATGGAGAAGCCTGCCAGGCATGCACATGTGTTTTCCGTGACACTTTCCCTTGTGGTCACCCTCTGTATGACAAGTTTTTAGATAATAAGCCTGGGGGCAGGAACTGTCTTATTAATTCCTCAGAAGCCACTCTGGGAGCATCTCAGCTGGAGAGAGGGGTATGAATATAATAAAATGAAAAACATTCATTCATAATAAATAATAAGAAATAAATTCTAGAAGCTGTCATTGTTTCACCTCAAAAAAATACCCTTATTCTGCATTCATCACTCAACAGAAATTCAAACAATGTGACAAAGTTCATTTTTATTGTATATTCAAAGGTTGCTTAACGTTGAAAGTAGGTTTGGTTTGGGGTGTGAGGATTGATGGGGGCATGGTGGCTCTGACTACCATGAAGAGACCCTCCTACTTTTAAATTTGCCACTACATCACTGGTCATAGTGCCTGTTAGAGGAGCATATTTCATCTAATTAAAATTGTGAATTGCTATGGTCATTTTTAATCCATTGTTCTGAGTAGGTTCCTCCATATGATGAAAGATGTGATTCTATACTTCATGTAACAGTCCAAACTTTTCAGCAGCTTGTATGATGTTATAATCTTTTACACCTTTTAAGAGGTCTAATTGTATTGATTCTGCCCCATATCATGACAAATGGTCAAAGATGTGTATGGCAATCATAACACGTGGGATGGTGTAAACTGGTGTCCTGCAACAGGAGGGGGTTGGACCCAATGGCCTTCATGGCCCCTTCCAGCTCTACTAATCTATGATTCTAAGATGTTGAAGGTGTCTATCATCCAACCAAAGGCAGTCAGAAAGAGAGAAAACATTAAATATATCATAATCTTTAGGGGCATGATCCTATCAGAATGCCTGTAAGCCCCTGAACTGGGAAGCTTGTAGGCATTGAAAGCAGACATGATCTATCTCTCCCCATCCTCACTAGATAGACTATTCAGTCTGTCTGGCAGGAGGGAAGGGCAAGGAGAGGTAGGATTGGCTTCAGGATACCATGTATCCTGGCCACTCCAGTCTGCTGCTGTCCCTGCCCCCTTTCTGCCCTCTTTGAGGTTGCCTTCCTGACCTCAGAGAGCAGCCAGAATCGTTCTTTCTGTGCCAGCCATGAGGGGTGGGGGAAGGGAATTGGAGCTGCAGTGTGGAGTCTTAGCACAGTTTCTTACCATGGAGTTGGCAATCGTAACTATTGGAACTATGACCTTTTAGATAGTGTCTAGGGACCATAGGATCTTTGCTCCTGTGAATGTAAAAAACCATGCCTTCAAGATTATATTTAATAATTTAATTTGCCTTGCTTCTCTCAGAATATTTCATAGGATATGAACATTCTGCATACAACATTGACTTATACAATCTGGTTCTTAAAATGGTATGATTTTTTCAGATTTGGATTTGAAAAAGTAATTTGCTTATCTGTTAAAACAGAGAGCTTGCAAAGGAGATATTAATAATATGAGGTCTTTATTCTCATGAACACAACCCTTAGTTTTTCTCCTTTATTAGTATCTTTATTATACTCTCCCTAAATCCAAATTGACTTATCTTGCTTCTCCTTTTACCACTACTTCTCTTCCTCCTATATTTTATTTATTCATTAGGTTTCTGCACTGCCCAATAGCGAACTCTTTCTGGGTCGTTAACAGCAATTAAAGTCATAAAACACAAAAAAATAAAATACATTTTATAAACATTTAAAATGGCAGTATAAAATAAAAATGATTAAATAGAACCTAGCAGCAGTGAAGAGATTTAAAATACAGTACCAGACTTAACACAGAAATAAAAAATTAAAATGCCTGGGAAAATAGAGTAAAGAATTTAACCTGGCCATACTCCAGATTCCTACTCTTGATGTTATCCCTGGTACCATAACATAATGTTCTTTCATAACCTCTTTCCCTCATCCTCAGTCTTTATATTAGAGTGCCTTTATCTTAACATGCCTTTCTGCTGAGCTCTCTCTTACTTTTAAAAATCATCCTTTAACCTATAGCCACCAGTCATGTTTTCTGGTTCTTTGAATGAATAAGGTAAAGGTAACTGTTTCCCCTTGACGTTAAGTCCAGTCATGTCTGACTCTAGGGGGCAGTGCTCATCTCCATTTCTTAGTCAAGGGAGCCAGCGTTTGTCTGCAGACAGTCTCCGTGGTCATGTGGCCGGCATGACTAAACACCCAAGTGCACGGAACGCTGTTACCTTCCCACCGAACTCACCCCATTGTGCAGATTCAAACTGGCAACCTTTCAATCAACCAGCACAGCAGCACAGCAGTTTAAACCACTGCGCCACCTGCATCCCTATTTGAATGAATGAATTAGTTCACATCTCTTAATTAGTTAATTTTCCTCCTTCCCTCGCTAACCTGCTTATCGACTATAATCAGCTCTGCTGGAATTTCTCTTAAGGGATTCAAACATCTTTCTTTGGCCAAATCTGGGGACTTGCTATGAGGTCTCAGTCATCTCTTCTTTTCCACCAGAATAGTATTATTTGGTCATACCGCACATACACTCCCCTCCATTTCCTTCTCTGTTAGAAGATACAAAATTTTCTCCCAATTTTTCTCAATAGAGAATCAGACAGTAAATCTCATATCACAAAGGAACCAGGAAAAGCTGCAGGTAAACTCAGTCATGTTCCTTTCCTCATTTCTATACCTCTGCTTATTCCTTATGTCTCCCACTACAAATAATTCCTTGACCTCTTCCTTTTCTTTTTCATCTCTTTTACTTCTGTCACCAAAGTTGCACTAATCATTCTTAAATTTAGCCTTTATCTTTGATCTCATTCCTTTTGTCTGGTGTGTGATATGCTTTGCATGTAATGATAAATCATGGTTTAATTAACCATGGCTTGATGTAAGGTTGTGAACTGTGGGTAATTTAAAAGATGGGTTGTTATTGTTATATAGGAACCCAGAATTGTGGATCGCTCACGGGCTTGCTTCATGACCTCTTTACTTGTCAGTACTGTAGTACCATAAAGGCTTTTAGGATACAGGAAGAGAATGGGTGATGGAGGGAAATAAACAATCTAAGGAGTAAGAAAACAAGTCATGGTTATTCAATCATATACCAGACAAATCCATGGGTAGGGCAACAATCCTTAAATAAACTATGGGTTGGTTTTCCATGCAAACCAGGTCTATACCCTAATCATATCATTTGCATTTCCTTCCAAACATTCCAGCAACATTTCAAATTGAGTGTGATGGAAACAAACATCCTAATATTCCCACCTGTACCTAAAGCTTTGCTGTTATTATAAGCAGCATTAGTTCCCTTGACCACCAGTTATCAACTACAAGGGCATCAAGTACATTCCGTTTCATGTATTTTTTCCATTTAGAGAGTGGTGAAAGAGAGAAGTATAACAAAGATATAAGGGATCTTTGCTGCCACATGTTGCTACAACCTACCAGCTTTTATTTTGTTTTTCATATGATGTACTGGTGTTCATCAAATCAGTCGATCATGTTTGATCAGAGATTGAATCAGTCAATCCTAAAGGAAATCAACCCTGACTGCTCTTTGGAAGGACAGGTACTAAGCTGAAGCTCACATACTTTGGCCACCTAATGAGAAGGAAGGACTCATTGGAAAAGACCGCTGGGAACGACTGAAGGCAAAAGGAGAAAGGGACGGCAGAGGTTGGTTGGATGGGGTCACTGGAGAGATGGGTGTGGGATTGGGTGTGTTCTGAGGGATGGTGGAGGACAGAAGAACCTGGAGGCATGTTGTCGTGAAGAGTCAGGCATGACTTTGCAACTGAACAACAACAACTGGTGTTCATATAATGTACTGGTGTAAAAGCTACGACTGGTGTGAAATTTCAATACATTGAATCCTCATTGTTTATCTCATACCAGAATGAGAATTGTGTGCATAAAAGGAGTCATAGATTCAGTTAAAGATTGTGTTTTCCAGTTGTGAACATTGAAGGCCCTAAAACAAAACAATTTAAAAAACTCATAGCTAAAATATCTTCCTCTGGGACATATAATCCTTTTTTTGTGTTACACAGGGTTATTTCTTAGGCAAGAGGTGGTATAAAGTTTTTTTTTTTTTTTTTTCGGGAGAGATCCTGAACTGCCTGCCTAAGTGATGAAGTTCTATCTTAGAACTCCTAGAATTCTATTAAAATTATCTGTTTCTTTTAATTTGGCTGATCCCATCTGCTTGTGTATGGAAGCCTCCCATATCGCTGTGGCAAACGCTTTCATATACTCCAGTCTCCTTTGCACTCACATATTAGTTCTCCAAGTCCTTATCATGAGATATTTAGAAATGTTTGGCCCACTTGTCGAGTTCTAAACTAAACAGCTAATACTAAAATAATGATAAAATAACTTAGAAGATTCCCATACCACCAAATCTGGGAATCATTACATTAATGACTATGTAAGACATTGCAGTATCTTTTGGAAACTTACTATCACCTCGTAATATTATAACCTGATTATCTGTTCCTTGAAGCAATTGTAGTCAAATGAAGTTGAAATATCCACAAATCTAAACCCCCTTCAGGCAAAGAATATCTGAAAAGACTAATACATCAGTACACTTTTGGTAGATTAAGCCAGAAGAGCTGAGCATTTATCTAGGAAATGTTATTTATATTCCTACAATGAACCTTGCTACCCAAGGATTATATTGATAGTCTCCTGTTCATTATGAAAACTTTTGCTCACCCATGCTTTGATGTTTGCTTAGCCAGAGACTCTTATATCCTTTTCATAAAAATAAAAAGTTTATTTCTAAACCTGTTGTAAAAATATTCATGTTTTTAAAATTACATGAGATTGAACATTATAACATAAATTTAATATAGAAAATGTTTTACAAATACTTATAAAGGGGACAATAATTTAAAAAGCCAGTATGAAATGGTCAAGGACTTACACTTTCCACTTCTATGACAGAATACATACCCTTGATATATGACTCAAATAAAACTGGGAAATACAAGTTCTTTGGTTCCAGGCTAATTACTATCATAATTAAATTACCACCCTGAAGGGAAATTTAATATTTCATAGGACTTGCTATATACAAAAACAGGAGAATGGTGCTGAATGTAATGTGGATTTTAAATCTTGAGTGCCTCCTAGTGTTGAAAAAAGTAGAACAATCTATTCATTTATGAAATTCCTGCAGAATAGGATGTCATAGATATTCATTTCAAGGTTTTAACTGACTGAGGCCTTTATTGAACTCAATGGGGATGATTGTTTAGTAGGCATAAACAGATTTGCACTGTTAGTGTTTTCCTACACAAGGAACCACTGATGCAGCTATTAAAGCTTCCCTTTAAAAATTATTTGATTGTATTTATACCCCACCATTTTTCCTCTTGCAAGGGACCCAAGGCAGCTTATAAAGTTCTCCTTCTATTTTATCCTCACAACAACAGCCCTGTGAGGTAGGTTAGGCTGAGAGGCACTGACTGGCCCCAAGCTACCCAGTTGGTTTCATAGCTGACTGGTGGCCTGGAACCCTAAACTATATCACAACTGCTTAATGAACTGAATGGGAAACTGCTAACAAGTGATGCTGAATGTCATCCAAAACAATCTATTGAGAATACATATCACAGACAATATCATTTCCAGATAGCTAGTCTAAGAATTGGTGAACATATTTTCTACATGAGCATTAACTTGCCTCAGACTGTAAGAAAGGAGCACAAGGGCCTCAAAGTTGCCCATCAACAGCTAGAACCTGGACAGTAGATTGAACAGGCAAACAGGTCATGTGCTATTATGAGATGTATTGTGTTCCATTTAAATTTTAGTATTTTCTAAATTTGCATATATACATAATTAGCATGTGCTTATTTTATGCAACTATATGGTGTCTCGTCTCTTTGTTTGACAGTGTGTAAGTGGCCACCCTTACTAAAAAGAGTATGATGGTAACTGTCTTTATGATCACTATCTATTCAGGCAATCAGGAACTGCATGTTTATGTGTGGCTCAGTATTATAAGAACTGGCCCTGCATTTAAAAAGAATTATGATCAACAGGATCCCTACTTTTCACAACATCTATAAGCATTATTTTCTCTTATTAAGATAATTTAAATCTGTCCTCAACATGCTAGTTGCAAACAATATAACTGGATTTAATTTTTTAGATATATCTAAGAGACACAAGGAGTGCAAGGAGCTGTACATAGTGCTTTAAATGGCAATTTTTCCATATTTTCTTCATTGTAGACAAGATTCATAAGATGTCCCCGTAACATAGAACTCATAGTGGTCCAAAGCATGTTTTCATCAACACCTATGCCACTGAAATTCATGTAACATGCTTCCTAATTACGGTATGAAGAACTCACCCCATTATTCTGGCATTATCAAACTTCTACTGTAGGGGTGCCAAAAATGCAGTCACTGGGCTGCATGCAACCCATCAGACGACCACATTGCTTCCTGCTGAAAAAAAATAAAGGTGGCAATCTCTACTCATAAATTCAAGGGATATGTTTACACTTGTCTGTGAGCAGGCGTTAAGAATGTGGGCCTGACATGGCCTCATGAAGCCCTCCATTTCAAAGAGGTTATGCTCTTCTGCTTTACCATATCCCTCCAATTTCCTTCCCCTTGTCTGTAACCTGTAAGCCTGAGGACTTGCCTTTCCCTTTCTCTCTGATTGATATTGGTCACTTGAGAGCCCCTGTAGTATAATACTACAGTTCCCTGCAGTCTGGGGCATGGAAAAGTCCAATTTTAGTCCCCACTCATCCATTAGGCTCACTGGGTGACCTCTGGTAAGTCACGGCTTCCAACAAGGTGCCTGATCAAGTCTGGCTCACCGCCTGTGCGCTCAACCCTTGCCCTTGTATGACAGCAATTAAGAAAGGGATTTCTACCTGGGTCCAAGAGGCTGTAAATGTTCCATGAGAGAGGAAGTGGTGCCAACCTCTCTTAAAGAGGCTGTAATTAAGACATTCCTGAAAAGGCCTGACATGGACCCATAAGATGTTAATAAGCATAGGCAAATAGCCAACGTTTCCTTCCTGGGCCAGGTGCTTGCGCAGGCAGTAGCTGAACAGTTCCGGGTCCTCTTGAATGAAATGGATTTTCAGGATTCGCTTCAGGCCTGGTTTTGGAATGGATGGATGTGGGATGACCTTTGTGGGAAAAACATGGGGACAGTGTGATTCTGCTGATTCTTCTGGACCTCTCAGTGGCTTTTGATACCATTGATTATGGTATCCTTCTAGAGATGTTGGCAGGGCTAGGAGTAGGAAGCACTGCATTGCATGTTGCAGTGGTTCTGCTTCTACTTGACCAGCTGATTCCAGGAGGTGATGCTGGGGGATTAATGCTCTGTGCCAAGGCAGTTATGCCATGGGGTACCCCAGGATTCTATTTAATCCCCATGCTATTTAACATCTACATGAAACTATTGGGGGAGGTTAGGGCCAGGCTATCTGAAGGAACACCCCATCCCATAAGTACCTAGTCTAACCCTGAAGTTATCTTTAGGGGTCCTTTTCCTGGAGTCCTTTCCAAACCAAGTGAGCCAGGTAGCTACATGGAGCATGGCCTTTTTGGTTGAGGCACCCCAGCTGCGGAATGAACTCAATCTATGGAATGAGCTCCCCAGAGAGGTCCGCCTGGCACCGTTATTTGTTTTTCGGTGCCAGGCGAAGACCTTTTTATTCAAACGCTATTTTAAGTGTTAATATTATTTATTTATTTTATTTTTTGGGCCAGGTTGACTCATATTGTTTTATTCTGTCCTTATTTATTTTTGTGAGTCGCCCCGAGGCTTCGGTGAATGGGACAGCATAGAAGCCTTCTAAATACATAAATAATAAACTTCCTAAAAAGGTGTATCCGGCACCTAGTTTGTATTCTTTCAGCAGCAGGTGAAGACCTTTCTATTTTCCCGGCAGTTTAACAGTTTAACTTTTATACTTCATTTCAAATATTGCATTTTATCAAGTATTACTGATATACATCAATGAAGATTCCATTGCAATTTCTGTGGTTTTGTTAGTTTTTATTAGTGTGTTTCTTAACTTTTTTTAATTGCCAGGAGAGCCTTGGTTACTGGGCAGGATAAAGATCAAATAAATAACCCTAACCTACCCCACAAGGTTGTCATTGTGAGGAAAAAATGGCTAGAAGCGCTTGTAAACTTCTTTTGTTTCCTTGCAGGAGGAAGAAATGCAATGTGACGATGTGGAAAAGGAAAAAAATTAGTTGTGGTTTCTAGTGACTTGTCCAACAGATCTGCCTGCTTAGAAGTAAGTTCCATCATGTCCAGTGGTACTTACTTCCTAGGAGTGCACAGCATTTCTTTCTTTTTCTAATACTCACATGAGTGGCACTTTGCAGTGGGGGACATCTTAAGAATATAGGTATTTTCTTATTATGTTACAAAATAACAGTTTGTCTATCCAATTTGTTCAAATGCAACATAATGGATTGGCAAATTAAATTTCTGCACCAACAAAGTATATTTCTGGAGAAAACTCACTGGACTTACTCTCCAAATGTTAAGGGGCTTGGAACTGCCTGTTCTTCCTTGTATAAGTCCATTGCCCTTTTCTTAAGGTTTTCCGCTTTGGCGTCATTCTTCTCAACCCCATCCCCTAGTTTGTACATTCGGCTAGCATTGGCACATGCCCATGTGTATCCTAAATCACATGCTTTCAGAGAATACTTCAATGCCAGGTTCATATCCTTTGCTATCCCAGGAGTTCCTTGAAGATACATTGTACTAAGGTTGAAACAGCTGGGAGCAAAACCACTCTCACAAGCTTTGCTGTAGTAGTCCCTGGCTAGTTGAGCATTGGGCTTCCCATCATCATTTCCTCGTCCATCATTTGCCAACAGTCCAACACTGTGACAAGATTCTATGGATTTCTTCCCACCTTTCTCACAAATCTTTGAGAAGCAGTTGTAGGCAGCTTTCAAATCTTGAGGAATCCCACCTGCAAGGAGAAACAGATTTGTTATTTACACAGATAGTGTTTTTTCTAAGAGCTCCAAGTTTTTCATACACATTCACATACATATACAATCTTTACAACATCCCTGTGAGCTCAGTAGTATCCCCATATTATAGACACAAGAGCTGAGACCAAAACACATCCAGAAACTTCATAGGTTGAGTGAGATGTGAATTGGAGATTGTGCAGCTTCCAGCTCATTCTTCTAACTACTCTGTCACAGTGGCCTCTCACTCATTCATATGTATTCCTCCAGAACCTTATCTGGATGGTCTTTTACTTTTAGAAATAAGTTGCGTAATAGAAGTGAAACTGTTCCTTACCTTTTCCAGTCACACAGTAAACTCCAAGTTTATAGCAGCTCTCATTGTGCAAGTTTTTTTCACAGTTCTCTTTAAGTACTTTAGCACTACCTTCAAAGTTTTTCTTTATCGCTTCTAGGTATTCAGCCAGACGATAACAACCTATGATTTTACATTGCAACAATTAAAAAATTATCTCATCAGTCAACTTTTTATAACATTAATCAATATACACATCCAGATACATTAGTTTCTCAGTGAAGCACCTCCTGCTCAACACTACAAATATGCATCTATAATTAAATTAAATATCCAATAGATCAAATAGCACAAACAACAGATTTTACCAACAATCACACCAATAATTTATAAAGTAACACACTCGAATGACAATTTCTACACCATAATTATTTTTCTAATACTTAATAAAAGATTTACATTCTTTCATAAATTTGAATTCTTTTGTCTACCATCTTGACAAATCTTACCATAGCCAGAAGTGTGGCTTCTACATCAAGAAAGGTATTACTACCACTCTACACGACTCTGGTACGCCCGCAATTGGAGTATGGTGTTCAGTTTTGGGTCCCTCATTACAGAAACGATATAGCCAGGTTGGAGTCAGTGCAGCGTAGGGCCACAAGGTTGGTGGCCGGTTTGCAGGGGATGCCGTATGAGGCGAGACTGAGGGAACTGGGTCTCTTCAGCCTGGAGAAGAGGAGACTCAGAGGGGATATGTTGGCGACATACAGGTATGCGAGGGGATGTCACATGGAGATGGGTAGAGACCTGTTCTCCCCTGCAGAGGAAGGCAGGACACACTCCAACAGAGCAAAGCTCAGGAAGCCAAGGTTCCGTTTGGATGCCAGGAAGCACTTCCTGACAGTCAGGACCCCGAGGGTTTGGAATGGGCTTCCACGAGAGGTCGTTGAGGCCCCATCGGTGCAGATGTTCAAGGATAGGCTGGACGTCCACATGGTGGGCATGCTGTGAGTGGATCCGGCTGGTGCTGGAGGTTAAACTAGATGGCCCGGGAGACCCCTTCTGACTCACTCTGTTTCTGTTTGTAGTCTAACTCATTAATCAGTAATTCTCCAACTTGTCAAATGTTAATAATTGGAAGAGGTCTAGTAATACTATTTTGGGATTAAAAGACATGCTATCCCTGTGACATCTCTCTTGTAGCAAAACATTTTGAACTTTTGACAGATTATTTATTTAAAAATTTTATATGCCATCCTTTATGTATAACATCTTGTATAACATATAATGAAATAACCCACATTTCCAGCATGCTCAATTATCCTTTCTATTTATTTAACTTATGAACTCTTAAAAGTCCAGCAGTAAATCACTTTGTAATAATTCTCATTTAAATTAATTCAAATTGGGCATTTTCCCACTAAAAAGTACTTTTAATTCTTCTCCAATAATTCTTAATGCTGTTACTGTCTCCCAGTGAGTTTTTTTTAAATAGTCCATATAAAAATCTTACCACAAGTTTTCTAGTTGTTCAGAAATGGAGACCTATGGCTTTAATTCTGGGTCAGATATTTGCAACCTGATTTGCAACAGAAGAATCCTATACATGTCTTCTCAGAATTAAATCCCGCTGCGTTTCGTGAGGACTACTCCCAGGTAAATAGGCATAGAATCACAGACTTCATGGGGATTCACTTGTGCTTCCAGTGTTGAGAGAATATATCCACAAACCATCGAATGTTATATAGCTAGTCGTATATCGGCTCTCATCTTACCGTCAGGATCTTTCTCCTTGTAGCATTGGAAGCTGTACTCTACACCCAAATTCTCCAAATACTCCTTCACCTCCTCTTCATCCTCGAAATTGATCAGCCCAGCCATTTCACCTCAGTGAGAAAGGAAAAAGGAAAGCGCATCACAACCTTGCAGCTCGTCCTAAGAGGTATGGGCGTCCGGAGAAAATGTTTCCCCCTTGCAGCAGCCGGAAGAGAATCAGCGACGGACGACCTCATGTGTGATTTCCGCTGTACTCTGCCGGAGGACTCCAAGAGAATGGCAACGCGAAAAGTTTTGTGGGCGTTCACGTTCCTAAATAGTTTAAAGTGTTCGTCCTGCAAACAAGTGCCGAAGGACAGCACAGTCCTGTTTGACCCCAAACAAATCCCACTTTTGTATGCAAAGAAGTCTTTTCTCAGGAAACTGGTTAATGAGCATTTGAGTAAGCAGGGATAGGATTGCGCTATAAAACAACCGAGTGCGTGGTATCTAAGAGTATTGTGTCAGAAGCCTATGTGGACTTAAAGCTCCATTCAGACACTCAAGTGTTTTTCTCAACTGGTAAAGGGACAAAGAAGCGAGGATGCTGCCAGGCGAGGCTTTTATGGTGCTATTGCTCTGTCTCGCTTATCGAATTTGGAATTTTACCCAATGTGGGATCCATATGTAGATGTCCTTCATTTGTAATCTTTCTCTGATTTCCCAACCCTTATCCATCTTTCCCTGCAGAAAATCTGTTAAGAAAGAAAAGACGTTATGCTTACCCAATGGTTGGCTCTAAATCTTTTTAATTTGAAATGGAAGAAATAAGTGGTATAATTTCTATTAAAGGATAAATGTCTACAAGCTGCAAAGATGAGATAACTTTGTAATGTTGAACACTGGTTTTGTTACCAAGCTTCTTTTGGGAGAGTACACAGCAGTATCTAGTTGACATGGGAATTGCGATCAGAACCTTTCTGATCATTTGTGGTGGCATATTCTTTGGTTCTATTAGAGATATTACCTTACTGTGACTTTTGGACTCCCACCTCCTTTTTAAAGAATTAATACTACCGTCTATTTTAGCATAAGCAATAATGTGAAGCAAAGGTAAGAGTAGAAGAGTGTGCTAGTGACTGGAGAGGGAGCCATTGACCTACCACTAGTTATTCTGAAATGATAAAATAATAAGTAGCGCAGTTGTTGTACCCAGGTGATGGAGTTTGCTGTAAGAACGTGTCTCAATAGTGACAGTAGCAGTATACAGAACTGGAACAGGGAGGGGTGGAATTTGACTTCCTGCTCAGTTTATATGAGCATATTTTATACTGTGTCCATCTTGCTGCTCCTTCTGATGTGACTAGTTCCACAATACACAAATTAGATTTTGGTTTTGCCTGTAACATGAAATCCAAAATAACCTACAGTTAATGCAGATAAATGACCTACAAGTTGCAGAATTCCTCAGCCAACAGTACTGCTTTAGATTGCACCTTCAGTGCACCAAATCCAGTTAAAAACCTTTCTGTTTAATCCAGACTTTAAATGTTTATAATGTATATATGGGTTTTAATTTTCGTAAACCATCCAGAGAGCCCCATGAACTATGGGACAGTATATAACATAATGTTTTAACATTTTTACCCTCATTGCTGCAATTGGTTTTATTTACACACTATGTTTTGTACTTAAGCTATTTATTATTTTGCTGCGATGTGGTATAATTGTGTATATTAGTGCTTTTAAAAAGCTGCTTTGGCTAATGTTTGATTTTCTATCAAACATTAGCCAAAGTAGTTTCTTGGTGTTAAACACGTTAAACCCGCATGCATCTGAAACTGTCTGACTCAGAATTCCTGTGCTGTAGGAAGGGGAAGCACTCTGTTCTTCTTACTTAACTGCAACCCAGGTGCTATCCTGCATCCCGAGCTATGGCCTTGGATGCATGAAGGAGAGACCTGCTGTTGATCTCCTAGGCTAGAATTCTCTCCGCCACTTCCCTGACTGTAGGCTCCATTTACTCCAACGGAATTTACTTCGAAGTAGACGGGACTGGATTGTTCATTTGGTTTCTGATCCGGACTTTTTGGAAGAAAGCCACCTCTTAGCAGCCCAAGCACGTCTCCTTTAAGGGAAGCGAGCGCTAGGCTGTGTGGGTATATTTTTATTTCGTGGGGGGGGGGGGGGTTGTTGTTTTTTACGCCGGCTCCGCTGAGGCGAATTCACTTCCAGGTCGAGGGTGGCAGCTGGGCTGGGGGCGCCCGGCTCGCTCCTGTACGGTGGTTGGGGCCCGCCCCTCAGTAGCAACAGCAGGAGGAGAGAAGGACGAGGCTGAGGGTCCCCGGTGCAGAAATGGTGAGTGGGGCTGCTGCGATAGCCGTCCGAGAGGCGGCAAGAGCAGGCAAACATGCTTAATGAGGGCAGAGCAAGAGCAGAGCAGAGCGCCTTCTTTAGTGGCGGATTGATGTATCTGATACACTTGCCATTCCCCTTTTATCTCCTGGTCCGTCACTAATGCGGATCTTGCTTTGGAAATGCTTTGAATTAGTTACATCTTAGACAATCTCCTCTCCCCCCCACCCCGCACACACACGCCTGAGGAGATGCGGGACCCCCCCCCTTTTTTTTGGCCACGCGCTAACCCTTCTGAATTACATAAAGGTTGGTTAAAGGGTGAATTTACTGTGGCCGCTTCACTTAAACCTGAATCTAGGGGGATGCGAATCAGGGCCAAAACAAACATGACTTTAGATGTGTGACTGGAAAGTATGTCTTTTTTTCCCCCTCCTCCTTTACTCTAGGGTAGGCTTGCGTGTCTCTCCCCCCCCCCCCCCCGGCACTCTAGATGGAGGGAATGAGGGAAGCAATAAGAACTAGAGCAAGTGGTGAGGGCTTCATCTATTCTAGAATAAAATAAAAGGAAGACATGGCTGCTGCACACACATTTAAAATAATCCCTGTTCTGGTCCTAAAATTGGTGGTGCCCTGGGATTACAACTTGAATCCAGTGATTGAAATATATCCTCAAGAAGGGCATCTGGAAGTCCCAGGGGATAAATATTCTCATCATGTTCAGGGAAGTCTCTATTGACCAGCAGATGCATGCCTGCTCCAACTTCTGTGTTCACAACTGCTAACTGGAAATAGACCACAATCTTATCTGTGTTGAGGCAGAGAAAAAAATTACAACCACACTGCTAGGTGAGATGGTTTATTTAAAAAATGTATAAGGTGACACAGAATAATTGTTTATCCTATAGACCTGTGTTGAAACTTGTATTTGGGTGACTACAACTTGCACCCTTTTCTCACCCTGCTCAAGAGTACAATGGATTGGTTAACAAATTGATTAACAAATACAGTGGTCAACAAATCTATTGCAACTACTCTTAGTTTAAGTAGAAAGACTGTTTCTTGAATCAGTATATGCTTGGTTGTCAGGCATCTCTTATTCCAGGTTACTAGGAAAGTCTTTGTGTATGACTGTGTGTATATGTTGCTTTAATGTTGCACTGCCTCAAAGACAAATAATGTCTGAAATCTGATTGCTGGGCAGTGTAACCATATTGAAGGAGAATATCTAAACAGTGGTATGGTGATCTGACAACATTCCAAACTAAAGGACTGGCTCTTTTAAGCAAGTTGTGGTTTTGAATCATTGCCACATATTTTGCTGCGGCCCCTCTGCATGGCTGTGGTGAAGTATCAGTCTCTTGCTGTGTAGTACTTAGCGCATGTAGGAACATTTAAAGCACACTGAAAAAGCTTGTGGAGTCAAGTATGCTAATGAGGTAACTAGATGCAAAAGAGGAAAGCACTTGTCTAATAGGTGTGTAGAAGAGAGAATTTTGGTAGGATACAATTTTGTCATGGGGAGATGAAACAATTGTTGAAATACTTGCTTCTAAATAATTCTTAAGTGTACTACATGAACCTTGTTCTCCTTTACAGTGATGTCCTAGTTGGTGTTTGACATCCTCCTGTGTTTGCAGTTTAAGGCAAGCTGAAAAAGAGGAGCTCTGTGAAGCCAAATGTGGCTGGGGGTACATATTTGGCTTTGTGAACCACAAATTGTATAGATATAATATGTGCTACAGCAGAAAGTACATGAAAAGCTTCCCTAAGGCTGCTGGGTTTGAGAATGTTTTGTTATCTTTGCTAGTAAGTCTAGAATATGCTACTTTGTGAGAGAAAACAGTTAACAAAAGATGTCCTAACACTTAAGTGTTGTAATTTTGTATAACACCCTTAGGCCGTGCATAAAAGATGCCTTGCATAAAACCTTATCCAAGTGGAAAATGGAGAATGAATGGTAAAAGAGTGGACTTTCCACTGCATGCTTATATGTAGAATATCCACATTAATGGAATTAATAGGGATTATAGTACTTCTCAAGTATATAGTCTGGAGTAAAAGGGGATATGCCTACATGTATGGTCCATAAATGTCAGACTGGTGGTTGACATTTGGATTAATTTATCCAGGAGAAAGATCCATGCAGTTAACTCAATGGAGAATATACTGATCACATCTTAAATTCTGTAATGACTGCCATAGTTTAAACATTTTATAATTACTTATTTTTAAGCACCAAAAAGATGCTTTAGTGTGTAACAAAATAAAATTTTAACAAACCACTGCCTTCAGTCTAAGTAAACATAGATAGGGAATAGAAGAAAGGGGTAAGGATATTAAATGCAGGAAGAAAGATGTCAAATTGAAGTAAGCAATTTAGAGAAGGCCTTAAGATGTTTCTTGAACTCCCAATATTTTCAGTATGTTAGAAACTGTGGGCATTTCTCAGTCTAAACTCGCACAAGAATAAGCCTTAGCGCATTGAAGGTTGAAGGAAGGAGCTGAACAGTGAAAAGAGATACCTAGTTGTTGTTGAGATGTCTAGCTGTTCTTGTTCATTTAGTTGTTTGTTTAGTAGATTTTGAGTCAGAAAAATCTAAATAAACAAATATGAAATACATACAATTGGCTGAAGAATGAGCCAATTTCCCATTAACATTTGGCAAACTCCATTCAAGAATGCAGTTAGTAGATAAATGGAGGAGTTAAGGTTCTGAAAGTTTCTATAATACTCTAGTGGAATGATTCAGTTTTGATTTATTTCTCATTGCTAATTTATGGGTAATGTAAAAGTTCCAATCTATATTTGTGAATGTAAGCGTGGAACCATGTGTGTTGTCGTTGTTTTCCTGGATTAATTAATGCTGTGTTGGATCAGGATTTGTCATGACACTTAACAACTCCCATCACCCCTAGCCATCATAATCAATTGTGAGGGATGATGACAGTTGTAGACCAAAACAGCTGTAAGGCTACAAATTGCCTGTCCCTGCTGCAGAATGACAAGATCACATTTACTTTGTCAGAATAGTTCCAAGCAAGAAGTGTTGTCAGATATTAAATCTGACCACCCTGACCAAGGTCAAGTCTACTTGATTCTTCTTTGGAATTCACATCAAATTTATGCATTGTCTAAGCAACCTGCCTCATGGAATGAAAAATGAGTCATTGTAGAACCGACACCACCAGCAATGTTGTCTTCATGGATAGCTTGCTGCTTCAAATAGGGTATCTTGGAGGAAAAGGTACCTGCCTTTCTCGTAAAATGATTCCTGTGTTTTTGTTCTTTATTTGCAAAATACAGGTTTTGTACAAATGTGCTTCTACCATTGCATGCATAGAGTTACTAAAATAGTAATGATCAGCAGAATTATAATGACTGAGCACTGAATTTTCTTACCAAAGGGCTGTTTGCAATTTATACTCCTACAAGTGCAATTGAGAGAGCTGTTGCTTTGAAATTAATAGGGACTGCATTGGTTGTGCCTTAGACTTTGTGCTTGTCTGAGACAAATGAATAAAACAAAAGGATATAAAATACTTAAAGCTGAAATAAGTGAGAAATTCTAAGCCAAGTTGGTGTACTTGCAGAAAATTATTTATTTCAGTTTGAGGGGTGGTTGACACTGCTATTTTAAAAACTGGCTGGGGGCGTATGTGCTAGCCCACTGAGCCTCTTTTTTTCTGTCAGTACTGAAATTGAGTCACAGTGTTTGTGTTATTTCCTTATGCTAGTGAAAGCACAATAGTTGATAGGAGCAATTAAAAATATCGTGGATAATCCTTTGTATTAACAAGAAAACAACAAACTTTTAGTCCATTATTATCTTGGCTATTTTATATGATGTATACCTTCATTCTGTAATATTATAATACTGTTCTATAACAGCATAACTGCAAAAAATCAGAAAGAAGCAAAACAGTGCATTCTTACACAGGTCTGCTCAGAAGTAACCCCATTAATTTCTGTAAGATTTATTTTTAGGTAGATAGGATGGCAGTTTTGGAAGACAGGATCCCCAGTGCAGTGCCCATGAAGGTCTCTAACCCAACCCCATTACAAAATTATTTTTGTTAAAAACTTTGAAAAAACACTGGGGTCTCAGGTTCTCTTTCTTGCACCTGCTGCAGATTAGCTCTTAACCAGTAGGCAGAGAAAGAAAGGATTGCTTTCTCACCTTGCACAATCCTCCATTCGTGCAGACCTTCCCCCTTTGCGCTCTCTCTTGCCATTCCTGATCTGTCTGTTACCCTTTGCTGTTACTCCTCCCCTCAAGTACTTTTCTTGCCATTTTAGTCCCTTCAACATCCCAGACCTCCTTAAGTGTCTCCTTTTTTTAACCTCTAGTCTTGTTTTTTCTCTTCCTCTACACTTTGTCTTGCTATTTTCTCCTCCCTACCAGATACTTGTCTTACTATTTTTCTCCCTCCACCCCATCTTGAGTAGCCAAACCCTCCATGACAGCCATTATATGATTTGTCACCTCCACCATGGAAGGCATTTTGTGGAGTACTTTTTGAAATTTCCAAATGTGCCCTAAAAGTTTGGGGACCCCCATTATAAGGTGGTAACTTCTCCATCAGTGCTGGGAGATTAATTTTGAACTCATTTTGACCCCAAATAAGTAATTCCTTATTATAGGAAAGATGCTTTGGGAGAGCAAAATTGGGTTCAGAGGATGGCTACTGTGTAAGGTAGTCACTTGTGCTGCATATCACCAAAAATACTGACAAGGTGACTTGAGTGCCTGCTCATTCTGCTGCTCAGGCAACTTGAAAGCCCTGCTTCTTTCCCTTCTTCTAGTTCTTTATCTTTGCACTAAACTGTGCACCTATTCAAATAAAGGTCACATGGTCACCATAGAGCCATGCTGAGCTCTCCCCCCATATTTAGGGCCAAGGCTAAATGGGATCAGGTAATACTGATATTCTTTAGTGACTAGAAGGCAGTGTAGTATGCATACTCCTTGGTGCTGACAGTTCTGACCCACTGATATTTTTCTGTAAGGGTAGATGTCATGGTGACTGGACTTTACTCTCTTCACCATTTAGGCTTGCATTTTTATTTGAAGTGATTTTTAAGGCAATAGCTTATATTTACTGCATTCCAGCAAGCAATGTGTGTATTACCCCAGTATGTGAATCATTTATTATATTTATATCCCACCTTTCTTGCAAGGAACCCAGGATGGGATGCATAATAGTCTGTATCTCCATTGTATCCTTTGATCACCTTTGCATCTGTTTAAGATGCATCTGCATTTTAAAATGGTTACCATTCAAATTCTCTTGTTTGGTGTTGAATATCCCCAGAGTCCAAATGTCTTCCCCAAGGATCACTTTAGCAATGTTGGAGCTTGCACATGCAGTTGTTTCCTTCCCTGTCAGTGATGGAAGCTTGCTCCACACCCATTGTAAATAGTTTTCAGGACTTGGTTTATGATGGACTAAAGCATTTTAAAAACGACTAAATATTAGGCCTTTATTTTATTTTGAACAGGAAGAGGCTTCACCATATTCTCTGGTTGACATCTGCTTGAATTACTTGACTTCTGACCTGGAGAAGTTCTGTACAGAAAGGCATGATGGGACACTGTGTCTACAAGAACCTGGAATATTTCCACAAGAAGTAGCTGACCGATTGCTGCGAACAATGGCATTTCATGGTAAAAGAACCAACCCCCCCCCCATTCTTCTGGGTCTAACTGGGGAGTGGTGGTATATTAGAAAGACTGCTATTTATACAGTTTCTTGATTTACCTGCATTGTTCTGGTGCCATCTATTCCTTAGGGGCCTTTTCAGTTGCTGTGGTGCCAGCAGACTTTGTGTGGTTAGACTAAACGTTATCCTGTACCAGGCAACTGTAAAACTGTGTTCACACACTCTTTACTGCAGAATGGGGAATATCAGTCCATGGGCCAAATCTTGTTCTCTGGGGGTCCCAATTCAGGCTCCAGATAGGCATGCCTCCTTTCCCTGATTGTCAATCATATGTCTGTTCTCTGCTTTCTGTATTTTATAAGGTTCTCAAAGGGGATAGTTCTCAATGGTAGGATGAAGACCCAAGTGGCATTTTGCTTCAGGTACAGAAAAATATAAGGGGGGAAAAAAGAAGAAAGGCCTCAGAATGAAGAGTGCAGCTGACTCTGTCTTTCTCCTTTAGCAAGCCTGTCCCCTTCCTTTTATTCTGACCCAGACCAAAAGAAATGCATTAGCTGTAGCATTTTACAATTTTAAACAAAAGTTGTGATACATTTGTAACTGGTTTTTCTTTTTCCACTCCACCAGGCCTGCTAAATGAAGCAACTGTTGGCATTTTTCGAGGCAACCAGATGCGCTTGAAAAGAGCTTGTATCCGAAAGGCCAAGATCTCTGCTGTGGCATTTCGGAAAGCATTCTGCCACCATAAGCTGGTGGAGCTTGATGCTACCGGTGTGAATGCAGACATTACTATAACAGATATCATCAGTGGACTTGGCAGCAATAAATGGATCCAGCAAAACCTTCAATGCCTTGTGCTGAACTCATTAACTCTTTCGTTGGAAGATCCCTATGAAAGGTGCTTCAGTCAACTGACTGGCCTCCGTGCATTGAGTATTACTAATGTTCTCTTTTACAATGAAGATCTGACCGATGTGGCTTCACTTCCAAGATTAGAAAGCTTGGATATATCGAACACCTCAGTCACTGACATAACTGCACTGCTTGCCTGCAAGGATCGCCTCAAATCTCTTACCATGCACCACCTGAAATGCTTGAAAATGACAACCACTCAGATTTTGGATGTCATCAGAGAGTTAAAATTCCTGAATCATCTTGACATTTCAGATGATAAGCAGTTCACATCTGATATTGCACTTCGCTTGTTAGAACAGAAAGACATATTGCCCAATCTTGTATCTTTGGACATCTCGGGGAGGAAACATGTTACTGATGAAGCAGTCGAAGCATTTGTTAAACAGCGACCTGCAATGCAGTTTGTAGGCTTGCTAGCCACAGATGCTGGCTATTCTTTATTTCTCACTGGAGAAGGAAACTTGAAGGTTGGTATCTATTTGTCACTTAATTTGAATTAGTTATGAAATAGGTTCTGATATGTTTTGTGTAAGCTTCAAATCCTGGTTGGTAGTGAAAGCATTAGTTCAGATAACTTGGGCGGAGTAGTAGTAATTCAGTCCTTAGAAGTAGCAAAATTGGATACTTGCCCAGCTCCCAGGAGCATCAAGGGAACCACCCACCAGCAATTCCACTGTGTATGGGCCACCGAAGCATATCAGAGGCAGCATGAGATAGTTAAGGCTCCCTTGTCTTAAAGTCCCCTCTAATTCCTAGAGGTGGTACTTGGAGTGGGTGATGGTATGTCTTGCACCCAGTAAACTCTCCCACCTAATCTGCTTCAAAATAGATTGCTTGCAAGTGAGGCCACTACTTGTTTAGTATCTGACTTTCCCACTAACTGTTCATTTGTTCATTTACCATTTTCTGCTTTTTTCACAACCCTTTCCATCCCAAGGTTCAGTGAGCTGATTCATTCAGCTTCTGGCCACTGTTTTATTTTCATATAAGCTTGCAGTTTGTCTACTACTGTGACTGGTCTTTTTGTAAGTTCTCCAGAGGATTCTTTGGAACCATAAAACAGAATATGACTTAATATATAGTAAAATTTTGTACATATAAATCATGAATCAGAGGCAGAAGTTCCTATTCATTTTCCTGAGAATCTTTCTGTCAAAGGTACAACCATGAAACATCACTCAACCTGTTCTTCAGGCTTCCCTCAGTCTTGGGTTTTATTGTGTTTTGTTTTGGAAAAGTTTTGAAACATAGCATAAAGGCTTTTCTAAATGGAAATGGCACTAGTGAATGCCAACTATTTCCCCCCAACTTTTGCTTTTCTTTTGAAAAGTTTTTATGGCAAAACATGAGTGTTATGCTTTGATTTTTACACTTGGGCCTTTTTTGAGCACTTTGGATTCTCTGAGGCACCTTAACATTTCAGGAAAATACAGGTGCACTCAGATAGCATGTGCTATATTTGGCATGTTGTATATTGCAGTGAGCAAGAGGCTTTTTCCCAAAAACAGTACTTTTTTTTGCTGCTTCTACAACCCCATTTTCACTTTTCTTTCCCTAATGCGTATAAAGTAAGTTCTCCTTCAAAGCTCCAATACCATAGCAATTATAATCAATTCAGTTTCTTCTTTTGGCTGGTAAAGGGGATTGTTGATCTGTTAATCCCATTTCCCACTATCTCTTCTGAGGCTCACAGCCTTGAGATATGGCTGATATTGTGTGTCTCTGCTTGAAAAGAGAATAATTCCTTGCCAAGTGATAGGTGACTGATAAGTGCAATGGTGCTTCCATTCCTATTAGGATGCTGCCTTCTGGAAACCTGTTGGTCAGCCAGCACTTGGGCTAACTTATTGGTATTCTTGAAATGTTGTAGTTGTCCTGTATTTGACTAATTCCTAGAAATAGTGGTTTAAGTAAGGTAGTAATTAGTTTAGTCTCTGTAATTTGAAAACATATATTTTGCCTATATCCTGCTACAGTTTCAAATGTGAGTATATTGTTTTTGTCTGCTGAAGGTATCTGGAGAAGCAAATGAAACTCAGATTTCTGAAGCTCTGAAGCGTTACAGTGAACGGGCATTCTTTGTACGGGAGGCTCTCTTTCATCTTTTCAGCCTTACACATATTATGATAAAAACGAAACCAGAAATTCTAAAGGTAAAACTATTTAACACTGATAAAGGCATCCTTGCGGGCATTTGTTTGTGAATATAACCTGTTTGAGACAAAGCACAGATCAAATTGAATGTGTGCATGTCCTTGCAATTTCAGAGCAGGGTAAGAAAAAAGAAGATATGTTTAATGTAGGTAATTAGAAAATCAGGAAAAATGTAAATATTATTTATATATGTTATACAAATTGAAGAGGTGCAGAGAATATGTAGTGCCAAAAAACAAACAATGCCCCTCTGAAAAAACAGGCATGTGTATTGAAAGAATATATAATCTGTGCATGCACATACTGTTTTGAAGCCAATAGATTGGACACTCCTGGCAGAAATTTGTTTTATGGGAAATAACATAGTCATAACTCGATTTAGTTTTTCATTACGTGATGTGCCCCAGTCTATGGGTAGAACTATGTATCTTTGTATATAGGTCTCCACCAAACAGCAGTAAAGTACACAGGCCAGTGTGGAGGGATAGTTTTCTCTATAAAACTGACAGGAGGGGCACTAGTGAAGAGACTGTTTACCACTGGTCCATTGCTCCTGCTTCCCCCCACCCCCACTGCCCTGTAACCTCTTTCCCACTTTTCATCCTGCCTTCAAGGGAAATAGCCTGCATGTGTTTATCAGTAGGACTTGTACAAGAAACAATGTATCTTCAAGTGTGCTTTGAGGATGAGGGATTGCGATAACTCAGGGGCTTCCTTCACAAATGTACTTCCAATTTTTGAGTCTTTGTCCCTGCTCATCCCATTTCCTTAATGATCCTATGTTAAGGAGTTTTTGGGAAATAAAAAGATAGGGTAGAGTGGGGGCAGGGCAAACCATCTGACTAGAGAAAAATCTGCCCTCTCTTTTTTGGTAAGGTAGGCAGGTGCAGAAAGAGAGAAGGCTTTTACATTTTTGATACTTGTGCAAAGGATACTTCCAGTAGGTTATATCTGCTGAAATTCTCTCTATTACACTACTCTGAAAGCTAAAGAGCCCAGTCCTTGTTTTAATAATAATAATAATAATAATAATAATAATAATAATAATAATATGGCCACCCTATGCCATATGCCACTGAGAATGTGAAGGACAACGCAATAGGCTTGGGACGGTGGTATGTGACAGCTAATGTATAAGACCCTGGGATGAAAGAGCATTTTGGTTAGGGTCTTTGCAGCTGTATACAAGATGACTTCATATGTGATAGGAAGCTCTGATTTGGCTGTTTTCATTCCTCATTTCAGCTAGTAGTTATTGGGATGAAAAATCACCCTCTGAACTTGCCAGTGCAGTTAGCAGCGAGTGCCTGTGTATTTAACTTGACTAAACAAGATTTGGCAGCAGGCATGCCTGTTAGGCTTCTGGCAGATGTCACTCATTTACTCCTTAAGGCCATGGAGCACTTTCCCAATCATCAGCAGGTAAGCTGTTTCATTTTTTCCCAAAGTCAGTGTTCTAGTATTCTAAAACTTTAAAAATGAAAAAACACCACTCTTCCCTGTGAGTTCTATATCTTTAGAAGTTGTTGAGTCCCTGCCCCCACACACACTATTTAGTTTGTATAGAATGGGAGCAAGCAGTGTCTTTTTAGAAATGTCTCATGTGCCAAAAATTTCTGCACACTTTAAAAAATACTGAGACTTTGCCTGTTATAGATGTGGGTACTGGCAGCCCATGGCTGAACTTCCTACATGAATTTCATTAAACATAAAGTTTGGCAAATTTTTAGTTTCACAAGCAATAGTTCAGCTGTGTTTGCTCTAATTCTAGGAAAGTTGTGTTATATAATACTGTTCCTACCTATATCTTATTGTTTAAGTTTGGTAGTAAGGCTAAGCCATGTTTTAGCATGGTTTTCCCCAGCTTGATCCCCTCCAGGTGTGGTAGACTATAACTCAACATTTCCAGCCATCATTGGTATTGGTGGTTGGCTGTGATGATGGAAATTGTAGTCCAGCATATCTGGGAGATTGTTGGCAAAGATTCTGGTTTAACATTACAAGAACAAACTTAGCTTCCTCCTGGGCTTATGCATGCCACCCTGTTCTCTTTTCTTTCACTGTGACCACTAAAAGGATATTGGAAGCTTCTGTTTTATTTTTATGTTAATTATGGTTTAGCATATCCTCTGACTGTGGATAATCTTAACTATGGTTTGGAAGTTGGATTGTTTCTACTAGCCATAATTAAAATTAACCACAGTTTATCTGAGCTCCATCTTGTATATAAAGAACCTAGGTAGCTGTTTGAAAAAATTTGCTAAAATACATGACATCTCCCCTCCCTGGAAAAGGCTTGCAGACCCATTCAGTTTGTGCCTTTCTGCACCCTTAAAATTATTTTATTTAAGAAGGCTTTGTGCATTATTCTTTTTTAATCTGTGCTTGCTGACTGTCTTCTATACATTCTTTTGGCTGTATTCTTTTTATTATATGTGTGTTATTTTTATTGGTTTTTTTAGTATAAGCTATAATTTGTAAACCACTTGTAAAAAGGTTTTCTAAATTGTGGAATGTAAATAATAATAAAATAGAAATGTCTAGTAAACTTTGGTACATTATGAAGACCCATACACCCTTTCACTTTACCTTATTTTATTATAAATATATTTGGAAATTACAATATCAATTCATAAAAGGAATATTTAATTTTAATGATTACATAGTGAGAAACCTAGGGCCCTTTTGTTGTTCTGGCCTACAATTCCTGTGACCATTACCACTGACCATTCTCACTAGCACTGATGGAAACTGTAGGACTACACATTCCTCTGTCCTATTTATTAGATTGATCCTGAAGGAAGGAAAGACTCAAAAATCCTGCATGTGAAATATTTTGTGTTGAAAGCTACTTTGCTCCCTTACAGTTGCAAAAGAACTGCCTTCTGTCATTGTGCAGTGACAGGATCCTTCAAGATGTTCCATTTAACAGGTTTGTTTTGCCATCCAAGTTATAAAGGAGGGGATAGCATTTGGGGCTCATGGTTTGGGGGGTTTTTTGCCATGAAATACAGGCATCATTTGTTAGGTGTTTTATTTCTGGTTATTCTGCCCAGTCATAATAAAAGATGCAGATTTGGTGTGGTTCAAATAACATTTCTACACAAGCATGTGGAATGACTTTATGTTAGACCAAGAAGTGTTATGTTGATTAACAAAAATGACTTTTGCTGTGTGGAATAGTGTAGAGGCAACGCATGGCTTCCCTTGTTTCAGAATTAATGCCAGTGATGATTAGCCTAAGAGTATTCCAACTTCTGACTAAACTAGAACAATTGTCCATATTCATAAATAGTGCCAAGTGGGTAGAAAATCCACCTACTGCCTTCTGCTGCAGCAAGAAATAATTGTGCTGCCTAGAACAATCGTGACTTATTCCATATATAGGGATTTTTGACACGTAACACAGGATGGGTTATCTTGCACATTTCAATTTTACTGCAAATGTTTCTTCCCGTTTCTGTTTACCTCTCAAAACAGTTTCCTGACTCATGAAGTTCTTCATAGATGTGCTTCATGTTTTGTCACAACAACTCAACACAGAAACCAGTATCATATCTTAACCATCATTCCGAGTTGCTATAAAAACCCACAGCTACCCACACCAATCTGATGTCATGGTAAAAATTCCTTCCCAGTCTCATTAGTCTATGATGCATTGGAATCCATACAGCACAGCCTGCATAACAGCCAAAATCAAGGCCCTGAACTAGTGTAGGTGGGGAAATGGGCTTTGCCATGGTGCTGGCCCAGAGTGGAATGCCTCTTATAATGAATGGCAGGGAGAACCAGAGGAGAGGCATTCTGCTGATTAGAAGCCCTGAGGCCAGCTGAATTTTTAAAATTCAGTGGTATGCTTTTGTTTGTGTACTAGTAACTCAGTTATTGCTTTGTTGCTGTTCATGAACTGTGGAATGTTGTGTTTGTATTTTCCACCCACCTGTTGATTTATGAACTTTCTGTCTGTTGCCTTTCAGGTTTGAAGCTGCCAAGCTTGTTATGCAGTGGCTATGTAACCATGAAGATCAAAATATGCAGAGGATGGCTGTAGCTATAATCTCTATTCTTGCTGCAAAGGTGTGAGCCCTTCAAAGCCTGTAACTTGCTTGACTCCCAAGGCCCTTCCAACAATAATCTGATATTCCTTTTTTCTTCTGCTTATAGCTTTCAACAGAACAAACAGCCCAACTTGGTGCAGAACTCTTCATTGTCAGGGTAAGCTAAGTGGCGGCAACATCAAATGTTCGCTTTGGCTGAAATATGGTTAACTGAGCAAGTTTAACAAAGTTTAAGTTGACAGCAAGTTTATTAAAAGTGTACATTGATAAGTTTTTTTTAAAGAAAATATATTAGGAATGCAAGACTATTAGTCTTCATGCTGTTCCATGTTTTTAAAAAATATGCTGATGAATTTGAATTTGATATACATATTCCTCTGCCCCCTTTCCCAGTTTTCCCCTGAACACAAAGACAGAAGTTAGCGGTGCTAAACTTCCAATTCAGAGGGAAAATGTATTTGATTTTCTTTGTTGCACTTAGTAGGACTAAGATCTCACCTCCTTGTGTCTTTTTGTGGGGAGGTTATTACACAAATTTTTTTGTATTGGAATAGTCTTTAATATTCATTGATGTACATACTCTTTTATTTACTCTTTTCAATGAAACTAACAAATAGAAGGAGAAATAAATTCTCTGCACCTATTTGTTAGTTAAAAGACTGATATTACAAAATTAGATGGATAAACACTCAGCCCATGCAATGGATTGAGGACTTATAACACATTGGATGTATGAGTGAGTAGCATACAGATGCCAACTTCAAATGAATACTTATTTGGATATTTGATTCAGTTTGATTGAAGTCTATGAATAATTGCAACAATATTGTATGCATTTTATAAAAATCCTTGTAAATATATTTGAAAACTGAAAATAAAAATAAAAATTCAAATGTTCCTAGGCATGATAATAACCTTAACCCTAACCCTGGTGTGGCCAATATGCAGCCTATGCACTTTACCTAGTGCAGCCAGATACAAAAGAGAATACACTTCTCCCTATGTACAAAGTTGTGTGGAAGAGGGAATTTCTACATGCATGAAATCAACACCTGATAAGTTCACAACCTTCTTTTACATCTGGCTATCCTACTTTTATTCCACATACCACAGACAAGGCTTTGGACCCGTATGTGTGCCATGGGAATAGCACTCATACCAGTCATCTTCTAATTTGATGGAACACTTGGCTTCTGATGCTCATCTTTAGGCAGCAACCTGCCTAAAAGACTCCTGGCCAGCACTAGCTCAAGACATTTCATGGTGTTCTTGTGGAGGAATACTGTCCTGCTTTTCCTTATATGTGCTGAACTACAAGCTGCATGTGACCACAGCAGGCTGGCTTGTTCAGCTGGGAGAGAAGTGGTAGTGGAAGAGAGCCTCTGTGGTCATAAGCCATGGACAGAGTAGTGGGTTTAACACCCTAGCCCCATGCTTCTTCTGCATTCAAAGTTGATGATTACTTTTGTGTTATTTGACTCTTCAATTGCTGAGATTTGAAACAAACGTGTAGTTTAATATGGCAATTGTACTCTCCTCTTTTTCTTTTTCTTTTCTTGTTAGCAACTACTTCAAATTGTGAAGCAAAAAACAAATCAGAATGTTGTAGATACTACTCTTAAGTTTACACTGAGTGCACTTTGGAATCTCACTGATGAGTCCCCAACTACATGTCGGCACTTTATCGAAAACCAAGGGCTGGAACTCTTCATGAAAGTCTTGGAGGTGAGAGCTGAAAGATTTCTGCCAGTATTTGTGCATTACATTTTCTGTCGGCAAACTCCTGTGTTCACATGTAGATACCCAAGTGTCGGTCTGGGTGCCTTGGCAGCATAGAGGCGGCTTTCAAGTCATGGTAGAGATCTCCTATCTTTACATTAAAATAGTGAGGAGGGGGTTAGGGTTAGGGTTCCCTACAGTTCCCCAAATCAGATTGCATTCCCAGGTGCTAGCTTTGGGGTCGGTACAAGACAGCAATTTCATTGATAATTGGGCTCAAAGGGAGTATCCTTTGTGTTGAACTTTGGCTAATTCCAACTTTTCTCCCCCTAAAAAATTGTCTCAAAGGCAAAAGGGACTCGGAGAACTTGGACCCCATTTGCTGCCAAACCCCTCAGGAAGGGTTTTGGCTACCATGAGATGTAGTGATTGCTATCATTTTGGATGAGTTTAAAAGAGGATTGGACAAACTAATGAAGATTAAGACTGTCAATGGCTACTAGTCCTGATGGCTTTATGTGACCTCCAGCATCAGAAGTATGCCTATGTACACCCATTGCTGGGGAAGACAACAGAAGGTGCAGTCCTGCTTGGCCATTTCCTTCAGGCAACTGATTGGCCATTGTAGGAACAGAATGTTGGACTAGATGGGTCTTATGTTTATTGGGCTTGGCTCACTGCCTTTGATCCTGCTGTTACTGCCGGAGAGGAAATAACTTCTGTTAGGCTCTTCTGCCTATTGCTTGAAGGGCAACACAAACAAAGGAAGAAAGAACCTTTGTAAATGAATGCATTTTGTAATTGCATTGGAGAAAGTGAGTATTCCTCATCCAGCATCCCACTCCCTTCATTGCTAATCCCAAATTCTACTCCATACTACCTCCTGCATCATAACCTCTGGTGTTTGGATTGTGTTGCCCTCCAGATGTTGCTGAACTACAAGTTCCACCATCCAAGCTGGCTGGAACTGGGAGGAATGGAGGTCCAGCATCTGTAGGAGCACAGTCTCCTGTCCTACGTAGCTCAATGCTGTGCAGGTGCCTTTTGGCATACTTTCCCTGATTCCAAACCCTCATGTTTAGGTGGAGGTGGAGTGGGCAGTGAAGGAAGGGTTGGGCCTGCACTTTTGAAACAAGAATTATTACATTAAAATTTTTAGGCTTTGTATAGTTCTCTGAGCCTTCTTAGAAGTTGCTACTTAAAACCTTATTATGTATTGAAATGCTTATTCGAATGATTCAATATACTTTATTTTTTATTACAGTCTTTTCCATCTGAGTCTTCTATCCAACAAAAAGTTCTTGGCCTTCTGGTAAGATTACCAAAATAAAATCATCATGGGAGGACGAATGGTTTTAATAAGAATAATTTCCTGGATGTTGGAAGTGTTCCTCTCTATAACTTTTAGCACAGCATGCAGTGAATTACACTGGATGCAACTCTGGTAACTTAAAATAGAGCTACCCCAACACTATTCCTGAATAGCCCCCATTTGTTTGAGTTTTATTAGAAATTAAGATGCTTACCCTAGAGCCCTAGAGCCTCTGCCCAATGAAGTGAGGTGTAGGTAGCTACCAAGAAGCAGTCCTTGTTTCTGAAATGAGCTCTTTACAGAGGTTCACCTGGCATCTACTTTCAGTATTTTTGATGCCAGGTGAAGTTCTTCATATTCCCAGGCATTTTAGCCTCTCGGTGTCTGTTTTAAATGTTACTGCATTTTATATCTTTTTAGTGCTGCTTGCTTTTCATTTTGTTGTTCATTGTAGTTTAAACTTTTGTTTTTCTTGTTTTATGGTTTTAATTTCTGTGTACAGCACAGGGAATTCAGCTGTTGGACAATATACAAGTGTAATAAATAAAACTAACAGTGATTTGGTTCAAGGATCTGTCTTCTGTGAAAGGAGAGACTCCATATGCAGAAGCTCCTTTTGCCTTCTTCTCCTTTATCACAGCAGGGTCTCCTGACTTTGTGTAGCATTTTCAGGTGCCTGGAAGAATGGGGAAGCCTGCACTAGTGCAGTTACACCAATATTAATATGAATCTAATCTAGCCAGCATCATTTAAGGCTGTACACAAATGGGCCAACCAATTTTACAGGCCCATTCATGGGTGGCAAAGTGGGAGGCTGTTGCTTCAGTTCTGGCATAGGAGTACACCAAAATTAGGCACAGTTCTGGGGTGCCCTTAACTTTAAGACTGGTGGTGGATATGCCTCTTTGTTTTATATTTAGAACTATTTTGCTGACATTACAGGTTGGCACAAAATCACAGCTTCATGCTCAGAGGCCTGGCCACCATGTTCTTAATCCCAAAAAGACCTGGACACAGTTTTATTGAGAGGCATTGGTGGTGAGGGGTGGGGGAAGTCAATGCTAAATGATTCATACAATTGTCACTTCCAGTTTAGCCTGGAAAGCATATTTGTTGACATGAAAAAAAAGGTTTGATATTTATCATGACTCCAACAAGGTTATTTACATGTTGCTGTTAGACAATAATGAAAACCCTTTATCTTGTTTCCTCATAGAACAACATAGCAGAGGTTAAGGAGCTCCATTCAGAGCTAATGTGGAAAGACTTCATAGACCACATCAGCAAGCTGTTGCACAGTGTGGAGGTGGAGGTCAGTTACTTTGCAGCTGGGATTATTGCTCATTTGATATCGCGAGGAGAACAAGCCTGGACATTGAGCCGGAGCCAGAGAACGTCACTCCTAGAAGAGCTGGTATATATGTGATAAAAAGACTGCCTACTCTTTATGGTAGAGCCATATTAACATGAACTGTAACATCACTTCCTTTCTTATCTTACAGCATTCTGCCATTTTGAATTGGCCCACTCCAGAATGTGAAATGGTGGCATACAGGTAATTACAGCCTTGATCTAAAACTTGAGAAAAATATTAACTTAAGCTCTGGTTGATCTGTTACAAATGACAGTTTTTCGGCCTAAAGTCATAGTCTCTAAGTTCATACGTTCTGCCTTACAACAAAGTCATGCCTCTTGATTTAAAGATCTAGTGAAACCCTTGGGCTGCAGCACAATACACGTTTACCTGAGATTAAATCCTATTGAACTCAGTGAGTCTAATCTCGGAATAGACCTGTGTTGAACTGCACTGTTGGTTTGCACAGTAAGTGTATTACAGAGCAAAAGTGCAGTCCTATGCATGCTTGCTTAGAGGTCAGTCTCATTGTGTTCAAGTTGTTATACATAGGATTGCAAAACTACTGAACTCAGTACTACTGCTACTGAAAGAAGGGACTTTGGGACTGTTGTTTTAGCATAATTGTCTTGCATTCTGATTCAATGCAGTGGCACATAAAAATACATAGATATAAATGGGTTGTCTTTTCATATGGTTCCGAATTATGCACAAGAATAGAATCTAATGTAGTTACATTTGTGCAAGTGGTTCACAGAATCGAGATAAGTTGGAAGGGGCCAAGAAAGCCATCAGGGTCAATACCATATTTGGTGCAGGACTCTTAAGGTAAAGCATCCCTAACGGATGACTATCCAGCTGCATCTTGAATGCCTCCAGTGTGGGCGAGTCTAGAACTGCCTTAAGTCATAGATTCCATTGATGTATGGCTCCAGCCTTTGGCAAGTGTTTTCCTGATGTTCAGCCAGAATCTGGCTTCCTGTAACTTGAGCTCATTATTCCATGCACTCTGGAATGGAGGAGAGAACCTGCCCTTTCTCTGTGTGACAACCTTTCAAGAGTGATGTTATATCTTTCCTCAGTCCCAATTCTTTCTGCCTCTCCTCTTTGTACTGGGCTTTTTTCCCAGTACAAATGATTGCACATTATGCTTGCATAACTGCTTATGCAACTGCTTGTACAAACTTAATGCCCATGCAGCAAAGATTCAGAGGACATATGCCACTTGATATTGCCCTTGGGTGCAAGAGCAACCCGGGAATTTTGCATGACTAGATTTAAAAAATAAAAAGGAAATAAGCTGTTGCTTTCTTCTGTAGCATACAAGACAATATCTACTTTCAAGGTTATTCTTCTGATAAGAAAATACCTCATTTTTTTAATAGCCAAAATTATAGGAAAATGCGATTATGAGCAGTCCCAGAGAACATACCTGTGGCTATTGTGATTGTGCAACTGTTGTGGTGCTCTCTTGGATATTTCTTGTGATTTCATTACTGACTTTTGTCCATCTCTTGGAAGGCTGTGTACTCCCCATATCATTGCTCCAGTATGGTAGCAACTTTTCTTCTACTACTTTTACATATAACTAATACTAGCTTGAGTACTCATGTCTCCACAGGAAAGCTTCACCACAAACCAACAAGATTAGTAAGTTAAAGCTGCAGCCACAAGTATTCAAGTTCAAGACTTGAGGGACCATTTGGTTAATGTTTAGTTATGTTATCATTGGGTACAAAAGTGAAACTGACAAAATATTAACTGAGGAATGAGCTACCACTGGGTTCTATGTCAAAGTGTACTGCTTTTTTTAGAAACCCAAAACAGCATATAGAGACTGTGAACTTCAGCACAGAAGTAGAAAGAAACAGGTATGGAAGGGGCTGCTTAGTCCTTTCCTTCTGGCAGATTGCTCAAAATTGCTGCTGTCCAGCTACTTTCCCTCCTGAAGAGTGGCAAGCTTTCCCTCATTCCATTTATCTGCTCAGAGTTGCAACCTCCTGCAGTTGAATATTGTTTTTAAAAAATCAATCAGAAGAAAGATGCACAATACACATCTCAGTTTTTCCACTCTTTAGTTTTTCTTTCCCTCCCACTCTCATTAGTGTTAGAGCATAGAACTCTTGACTTCATAAAAGAAAGGAAAGAGAGCACATGCAGCATAGCTGTTTCTCCTTCAACCAGGATCTCCTTCAAGTTCTCCTTCAACTTTATCCCAGTGCAGAGCATGCCGGCGGAAGCTGCATGGAGTGATATCTATACTTTGGAACATGTTTAGTCTGACAGGGTAGAAAAAATGCCTCTTCTCCTGTACTAGAATGCTGTTTTACTTACTTTGTTCCAGTTGTGCCAGCTGCTATCCTGATGCCTTCCTGTAGAATCAGTTGAAGGAACATAACAAAGAGATTTGCTGGCATGTTTGACTGACTGCCTCCCATATGCAGTCTTCCTTAAACAGGCACTATCCAGATGTTTTGGACTACAGCTCCAGTCAGCCCCATCCAGAATAACAAATGACATGAAGTTTCTAGTTCAAAACGTTTGGATGGCACCCGGTGGGGGAAGGCTGATGTGTAAATTCTAATGTCCATAGATTAAGATGTGATCTTCTCATGCACTCTGGCTTGGAACAAAGAATTGCATGTCAAATTAGTAGCAAATGGAAGCAGTTGAGATCTCATTTTGATTGTCCTATCACTAGCTGTGGATGAAGTAAGCTTATTCTGAGGTCTTGGTGTTAAAATACCAAAGTGATTGGGCCTGTACTATTCTTCTCATGAATAGGTCTTTCAACCCATTTTTCCCCTTGCTTGGCTGCTTCATGACTCCTGGGGTACAGCTATGGGCAGTATGGGCAATGCAGCACGTTTGCAGTAAAAACCGTATGTAGAAAGACATTTCAAGCATCTCTTTCAACTGTAATTGAAATGATAACTTGTGATTTTTAGCCATATATTTGATTAAAGTTACTTTTTCTAAAGTAAATGGAGAATTAAAACCATCTTGCAAGGATCTGTGCTTTGGCATCAGATTAAATCTAGCATTTTTATCCTGGGTAAAATGCAAAGTTGTTGATGAGGTGTGTATTTGTGTTCTGAATATTTTGGACTCTAGGAGCCAATGTGGATGAAGTCTTGGACCTGGATCAGGAGGCCAAGGCTGAAATTCCTTCTCAGCTGTGAAGCTTACTGGCAAGTCATGGTTTCCATGGCATAGCTGTTCCTGGATTGTTTAACCGAGAAATTGTGGGGATGAGTGGAATGTGTGAACCATACACCCAACATTGCTGTATTTAATTAACAATGTAGAGTTAATCTAACAAGTATCCATAGGCAGTAGTTGAGATACCTCTTGGTTGCTTAGCCCATAAACAACCAAGAGTCTCTAGTGTTGCATATCAGGATCATTAAATGAAATCAGAAATGACAAGAATGAAGCTTGCACTCTCTTCTCATCCCCACAATTTCTGGGTTAAATAACTGAGGAATTTATGCTGTGATGTGTAAACCAGGTCACTGTCTCTTTTGTGAGCTTAGCTGTTAGGATCATTGAGAGGATAAAACTGAGAAAGTAGCATGTTGATGCTTTTAGCTTAGTGGAAGGATGGATAGAAATGTGATAATACATTGATACATAGAAACATGTGGAAGTGAACACTTCTTCAGATCCTAACAGCAGTGCTAATACTAAACATGTGCTCTCCCAGGTCACCCCCAAGCCAGAAAGTAAAATTAGAAAATTTATTTAAGCTGGTCCCTCTAGAGAAGAATTGCAGTGATTCATGCAAGGGACATGTGAGATCTATAGAAAGTTGAGCTACAGAGCTAGGGCCCATCATGGTTTTGTGGGGTTACTCTAAAAAAAAAGGTTATGGGGGGTATATAGGAGGTCTGGGCTGGAGAGCAGTGGTTCTGGAAGACAGAAAAAGTGTTTTGAGAAGTAGAAAAGTGAGCATGGAATAAAATTGGGCTAGAATGCAGTGTGATGGCTTGGTCAGCGCTACCTCTACCTCTCCTGCCCCTAAGAGATGGGATAGTAGTTTGGAGGAAGTGTGATGTTTGCTTAAACATGCTGTCCCTCACCCACTTCTAGAGGAGATGCTTCATAGACATTTTCTACTTCAAAAGTATATATTTAATTTCTGCAGATACTAAATGGGAGTACAGCTACAGGTGGCTTAGCATCTGCCACCTTTTTGATGCTATAGTTTCGAAGAAAACTGGGGATCACTTGCTGTGACTACAGTTTGCTTAATTATTTTGCTAAATCCTGTTGCACTTTCCAATCAGAATTTAAATGCTAAGCATTTTATGTAGAAAGCGATGGAAGCAGGTAACTAAACTCAAGATACATTACCTCATTTAATATCTATTTCTCTCTCCCTTTCTTGTTTCAGCTGCCAGGTACTGCAGCATGTTAATTGAAGAAGGCGGGTTGCATCATTTGTTTAACATCAAGGAAAACAGCCAGACTGATCCGGATGTTCAACGAATCGCTATCTCAATCTTAGATAGCTTAGAAAAACATATTTTACGGCATGGGCGGCCACCTCCCTGTTAAGAAACAGACAGAAGCAAAGCCAGAATTGAAAGAGAAATTTGTAACAGGGATTAGGTGTGTAAATTATCCTTTAATAATCCCTTATGAAGCATCTCTAGATGGAATAACTTCTGCAGCAGTGTTTACCATTAAAACATTTTGCTAGCTGTCGTGGAAAAAGGCAGAATTTATGGCTGGCAAATATTGTCTTTAATGGTCTCTGCTGAAGCGTTTTTATGAGGATCTACAGTAAATTCCTAAAATGGACATTTCTGTTAGATCGCCTCTGGCCATGGAAAAAATGAAGACTGTACATTTCAAATGTACATCCAAAATGAAACCTCTAGGAATTTGTGAGTTTGAGTACAGAGAATCATTTCTGCTTGCTTCATCCTTTCAGAATACTTGTGTTTAAATAGAAGTCTCCACCAACTCAGTATTTGAATTTGTGCTTGTAATGTTAGCACTATCCAGATCAAAGCAAAGTCATGTATTCACGTTAAAACACGACAGGTTATGAGTAAGGTGACCAGAGATGTTCTGTTTCTCTGGGAAACCTTTCTAAACCCATATGGAGCCTTCAGATTCATCTCACATTTCACATGTTTTATGAAGCAGGAGCACTTGAGTTTATAATCAGCTGTCTTCCCTAATATAGTGTGATGAGAATCTGCTTATAGGAAGAAACATGAGTTCTGCTTCAGGGAGCCAAATGCATAGGAGGGAAAGCAGTGAATTGCTGTTTAAGACGAGAGAAGGAAAAGAGCAAACAGTGCTATTGCACCTTTAAAAAATAAGTGTACATTTAACAGAAGAGTAGGAAAACTGTGGAGCTCTCCACCAAAAGGATTGCTCACCTTAGGGGCTTGTATGGACCAAGGATATCTGATCACCTTATTTATGACAGACTATTAATTTGCTTTGCTGTTTCTCGTAAATACTTCGTCAGTATTTGTGCAGTGAACTTTATGTGCAAGGCAAGACCATACAAAATCTCATCCAACATCCTATGTAAAGTCTGGTGTAAATGACATTGTTGTGTGGAGTATTAAAGTTTTACATAAAACTTCCCATGGTTAAAAACTTCCTCTGAGGTCTATCTGTGAATATTTTATGGGACAAATTAAGATCACAACAACAGTACACAAGCCTGTTATAAAGTAGAGCCGATGGAAAACAATACCATGATTTAAACATCTTATTCTAAAGAATTATTCTATAAATTGCTTTGTCCCACAAATGGGGGAAAAATCCTTCCCTACTCTTTAGAAGCTAAACTTAAAGCTACATTCAATTTGTCAGAGGGTGGAATGTGGCCACAGAGCTACAAGTTGCTCACCCCATACCGTGTGGCATGGTATAAATGGGTGGATAGCGTTGTTATGTGGGAAATTACCACTATGTGCATTGTGCATATGTGATTAAACTACACTGGTTCAGAGTTCCTTTTTGACTTTGCATAGCAGGAAACTGTACATTACCCAAGTATATTAAAAGGTTCCTAAAATAGTGTGATATATGTTAGAAAATATACCCTTGCTGTTCTGTTACCTGAATGAACACTTAGCCCTGTGGTAATTGACAGAAGTGTACAAAATTAGTTATGAGGCCATTGAACATAATAAATATAAATAAGCTTTACCACCACTAGAAAAAGTAATAGAAACAAGAGAAACAAGCTTGTTATACAAGTGTCTGTTTGAGCAAGTTGGTTTCTGATTTTAGCAGCTAGTGTTCAAACCCAGTGCATAATTGTCAGATCTCTACCACTTGGCTAGAGAGTTTCTTTTTAAATTGGAGCCAGAGAAAAATTTGATCCAATTATGTCTGTTATAGAGCAGAAATAAAAGGGAGAAAAGATTGAGATATTCCATCTTTCCAGTACTCCAAATAGATATTGTAGTTTCATAGGCAGGTTCCACACCCTTCTAAAACAGTATAGGCATTATTGGAAGCATAATGTCACAAGTAAATTCACTTAGGCTTTATTCCCATGTAAGTATACATAGGGTTGCAACAAAAGTCTGTGATCCTATAGCCATGTAGCACTGTGTAAGCTTCACTGAGCTCAGTAAGACATCATTTGAGTAGATATTTACAGTGCATTCCTATACATGTTTATTCAGAAATTAAGTTCCATTCTAATATAGTTTGGAACAATAACATTATTTTGAGAAGTGAAATGATGGAGAAGCAGGAGAAGCTTGAGTTGCACCCAAGCCATGTTTGTCAACTCTCTTGTAGTCTATAGACAGCAAGCCTGTCACCTTTATCAACTGAAAACCCACACTTTAGTAAACTTGCTAATGATAGCTTATTTAATTTATTCAATGATAGCTTATTTAACCTGCTAGTTTGGAATGAACTTAGGATCCTTTAGGAAAACGGAAAGTTTTCATCTTTTTATAAGCAGGGCTTTCATAGAATTGCATAGATTGCAATCCTGAATGCACTTATTTAGAATGGACACCACTGAGCTCAGCTGAGCTGAGCTTTTTAAGTGAGAGCCAGTGTGGTGTAGTGGTTAAGAGCATGGGACTGGGACTCAGACGATCTAGGTTCTAGTCCCTGCTCAGCCATGGAGCCAACTGGGTGACTTTGGGCCAGTCACAGACTCTCAGCCCAACCTACCTCACAGGGTTGTTGTGGGGATAAGATGGAGGAGGAGATGTAAGCTGCCTTGAGCCCTTAGGAAAAAGGCAGGATATAAATCGAAAAATAAATAAATATGCTTGTGACAGACTTCTGTCTTAGGAATTCATAAGGGCTGGCACTAGGGTTGAGGGTGCACTTGGCAAAGTGCCCTGTGAATCCACTAACACCCTGATCCCCCAAGTAACTTTACTGAGCTGTAGCAGAAATGAGCCACAGCATTTAGCCACAACACTGAGAAAAAAGCTCCAAGTAGCTTTGGTTCCTAACTACCTATTGAGCTTTGTTCATTCGATTTATATCCTACATTTTTAAAGAATGCAAGGTAGCCTACATCATTCTCTTTCTCCTCTCTCAATCCTATCCCAACAATCCTGTAAGGTAGGTTGAGTTGAGAGTCTGTGACTGGCCCAAGGTCAGCTGCTTGGCATAATGGCTGAGTGGGGACTTGAACCCAGATCATCTGAGTCCCAGTCCTGTGTTCTTAACTACTACACCACACTATTATGCTGTAAGTGTTGCATAGAGTTATGCTGGGAAATTGAACATAGCAGGTACAGCACTGATCTGAATCATGCTGCACCTAAATATGATTAAAAAGGATGTTAACACTTGATGCCAATCACAAATTTGCCCTCCATATGTAGTATTGAGGCTGTGCCAGAATTTGTAGGTATCAAGAATACAAGAGCTGACACATGTAGTATTTAATGTACCGTTTAATAGCACACTACCACCACAAAACTGTTGATTATGGGCAGTACACTTCATGTGTACATAATGGTCTATATATGCAGCTGCCACATTTGTAATTTCAGCAGCAATCCTAAAATACTAAGATAAAGATTTTCTGAGTAAAAATGCATAGGATTGCGGCGTTCCCACCGAATTACCTGAAATCTTTTCTTGATTAATCACCATTCAGTTCTGTCAAAGACGGGAGGCAATCCTATTAGTTTCTGGGGTTTGGGGCAAACGTTCTATTTTAAGGACATAAATTTCCGGCTAAGACATTAATGACAAAATAAAATTTGCATCTCTTGTCTCTAGCGGAGGTGTACCTGTACTCTGAGATTATTTCTGTGTATAAAAATACCTGGCGTGGCCCAAATACAGACACGTATGAATATGAGAGATCTGGGGTGAGTGGCATTTTGTACTCTCGTTCTAGTCCAGCTCTGTACTAACTTAGCCAGAGAAGTGCTAAGATATGTCTGGCTCTCAAAACGATCTCATCTACACACTGAAAGCGGTTCAAGGAGAGGAACGACAGGAGAGAGTGCCTTCTGCTTCCTGGGAAATAATCAATCCATTACTCCACAATCGACTTCACTCCCTATTTGCAAGAGCGATCTATTTTTTCTCCGCCCTCGTCACGTTAGAAAGAAAGGAAAGGGAAAAAGGGAGGGGGAAATCTTCCTAGTATCCGCATGCGCCCTACTCACTTCCTCTACTCTGGCGGATAACAAGTGCTTCTCTTTTTGGTCCGTCTACTCTCCTTCCGGTTGCTTCTCTCTGCCCCATCCCCTTTTTCCACTCAAGTGGAGTTCACGCCGGTTCCTTGCAATGGTGCGCTTCCTTCATATCCAGAACCGGCAACGAGCCCCGCTGACTATTTGCGGGGACTGTCCTGCAGTGCAGGTAAATGGGTGACTGGTGACTGTTAGGGAGGAGACGGGACCTTAGAAACCGCGAGAAAGGAGGAGGGAGGAAGAAGGTAGAGGTGGCCGGAGCGGAGTGAGAGACCGTGAGACCAAGGAGGACGAAAAAAGGGGAGTGCTGGGGGGACAGAACTACCGGGTACAGAGCGTTGGCGAGGCTAAGGAAAGGCTAGCTAGACTCTGAAGCCTTCATAAGCTGGGTCTCGTCTGTCTGAGTTCTTTGGGAGAGTCTTTCGTAGTGTATGTGATGAGGTACCTTTAAGACAGATAGGTGAACTGTTCAGACTGCATCTCCTGTAGCTCCCAGCCAGCATGACTGAGTTTAGGAACTATGGGAGTTATAGCCCAAGGCATTTGGTGAGAAGGTGTCAGGTTGCTTGCCTCTCCTCTAGAGATGCACTTGCATGTTCTTTTTCCTGTGGCACTACTGCTTTTTGATGTTTTGGCCATCTGGTCATGCTGCTTATGTGTCACTGTTGGGTGTTAGCATGAACATGCTTCTTAGTATCAGTTAGTGGGAAGGAGCAATGGGAAGGAGTTGTTGTCTTCTCATCCTCCTTGTTGCTTATCCTAAAGGCATCTGACTAGCCAATGTGGCAACAGTTTCCAGACCTGATGGACCATTAGGCAGTTTCATGTAGGGGGTTCTTTTGATTTGAAGAGTTTTGTAGAGATTTAGCCTTTGGTAGGGCAAATGAGCTAAAGCTAAGGCTTGTTAGATGGTTAAGTCTGGTGAGAAGGGGATAGGGAACAAAACCCACATGACTTAACCTAGAGTTTGGGGAGACAAAATGGCCCTGTGGATACCAGTGTGTCACTGGACATCCGTCAATGTGCCTTACTTCTTCCACCTCTGTAAAAAAAAGTACATTTCTTACTAGCAGTTGGGATTGTTTTGAAATAGGTTTTTGTTGGTGCTGAAAACTATGAGTTCAAAGGAGTTGTTTAGTGTGCAAAACACCTTGGCCTTGTGCTTAATCTTCTGGGCTGGTTACTTTCCTTTACTCTGCCTTTCTTAGCAACTGTTTTGTGGAGGTACCCAGGTCAGTCTCTCAAATTTCCAAATACTTCCATGGTTCAAAAATACAGCCTACTCCTTGGCTTGAGACTCAGGTCTGACTCCTATTGCTAGTGGCAAAGTTTATTCCTGGGCAACATGATGGAGTGGGACTTCTAAGCAGACACAGATTTCTCTTCTATGATAAAACCTCGATTATAAAACTTTTCCATATTAAGGGGAAAGTGCACTATGATATTCTTAATGGTAGCATGCTGCTGTGTATCTAATGGAGCTGAGGGGGATCAGTTTGCTTCAGTAGGCAATTCACTGCTATGACGGTGAAGCTAGACAATTCACATTTATACAGTGCTCATTGAGGGAGTTTCTGTTTTACTAAACTAATGAGAACATGATCTGATCATGTAATCTGTGAGTGAATAAACATTTTCTAATCTGAAGAAAGTACATATTAGAGCATAATATTTTCTGTCCACTCATTTTATTTATTCTCTCTTTCATTTAACGATGCACACTACATGTAGGTGTTTAAGTTTTATGGGTATTAAAATTAATTGTCTAGTGTGTCTTAATCCATTGCACTTCCCTGGAAGACTGTGGTTTTATTTATTTATTTGCTAATGTGCTGCTTTTAAAAATGGGTTACAGGCTGAAGCATCTCCATATTCTCTAGTTGACATCTGCTTGAATGCCTTGGTTGCTGATTTGGAAAAATTTTGTACAGAAAGGCCAGATGGATCATTGTGCTTGAAAGAATCTGAAAGACTGCCTCAAGAAGTGGCTGATCAATTACTCCAGACAATGGCATATCGAGGTAAGAATTATTTTTATGCCAGCACTGATAGTAGTGGGCATCAGTGTTATGAACAGGGGTCATTTATATACAGAATAAGATATTCTTGTTTGTAAACTGTTTCTGTGCAATGAAGCCTCAAGGAGTATTGTTTCCTGTAATGTAGAGTATTGGACTAGAACTGAAAGCAAAGAACTGGATCAAGATAACAGCTTAAATATGACTTAGCTATTAAAATGTATGTAGGTGTAATACTGGCTTTGCTATGCTTATATCAAAATCTGCTAATTTCCAGTGATCAAGTGATTATGCTGCTCAGCTCCATACTGAACATCTCCATCAACATCAGTAAACTATGTCAACTTGCATATCAAGTTTTTATGTACCAAAGATTGGGCTCTTTAGAAAAACATCACCATCCTGATTAGTTGTTCAAATAAGTGTGTGCTGTTAATTAATAGAACCTAGTATGTGCCTAGGAAACAGCTGACCACATTTCAGTAGGTTTAGTCTCTCTGACGTAGACTTGTTTTCCTTTCCTAACAGAGCTATTGAATGATGGCACAGTGGGCATTTTTCGAGGCAACCAAATGCGTCTGAAACAAGCTTGTATCCGCAAAGCAAAAATCTCAGCCCAGTCCTTCAAGAAGGCCTTCTGCCATCATAAACTAGTAGAACTGGATGCTGCGGGAATGAATGCTGCTGTTACTGTTGCAGATGTTGTGAGTGGGCTGGGCACCAGTACATGGATCCAGAACAACCTTCAGTGCCTTGTCTTGGACTCATTAACTTTTTCTTCCACAAATCCTCATGAAAGGTGTTTTAGTCAGTTGTCTGGCCTTCGTTCTTTAAGTATTACCAATGTGCTCTTCCATGATGAAGATCTAGCAGAGGTCGCTTCCCTGCCAAGATTAGAAAGCCTGGATATATCCAACACCTCAGTCACTGACATAACTGCACTCCTTACCTGCAAGAATCGACTGAAGTCTCTAACTATGCATAGTGTAAAATGTTTGAAAATGTCTACACCAAAGTTCTTAGATGTAATAGCAGAACTAAACAATCTGCTTCACCTTGATATCTCAGATGAGCAGCATTCTACATCAGATATTCCCTTTCATTTACTAGGGCGGAAAGACATTCTGCCCAATCTTGTGTCTTTGGACATCTCTGGAAGTAAATACATTACTGATGAGGCTGTAGAAGCATTTGTCCAACAGCGACCAAGAATGCAGTTTGTGGGGTTGCTGGGTACTGAAGCTGGATTCACAGAGTTCCTTTCAGGAGAGGGAAACTTGAAGGTATGAACTTTTCAAATATTCTGCAGGTACATGATTATTGAGCACACAGCATGGAAGCAGTTTTCTTATTCATTTGTTGACTTGCTTTTGTAGCTTTGAAGCAAGAATGTTTAACATTACTAGGTCTCTCTTTCATTCTTAACAGTGGCATATTACTCAGTTGAAATAAAATAATAAAATCACAGATTTTAAAAGGAAGAACTAATTTTATCTATGTATAAAGTTTCATATATGGCTTCTACCTACTGGCCTCAAGCCCTGGAACCAGTTGAACCTGCTGCTCAACAGACAACTTTAGAGCCAGTTAAAAAATAGAGCTAACTGCAAAGTAAAAGAAACTTAAGACTGCCTCTTGCAGGTGTATGCACAGTGGGTAGGGGGCAGGGAAAAGGAAACAGAAACCTTGAATTTCTTACATAGTGGAACAGATTGTGCCTGACTCACCCTGTTAGCCAACAAATGGCCCGCCTTTCCTATTGTAGAGAAAACTGATTTGTTGCAGAGGAGAATAAAGCATTCGGATTTTGCATAGCTTGCACTGCACGGAATGCAGTGCTTTTTTCAGTGAAGTAAAACAAATGGAGATGCACTAGAAGTAAAACAAGCAAGAAGCTCTAGGGAAACTGCTTGGATTTTGTTTTGTGTGAGACTTCAAGCATGTTCTCCTATAACTGATAAAGCTTAATGTCTTCCAAACCATTAGAAGCAGGAGGGCTTATGCTCTGGCAATCCTTTGGTCTGTCCAATACACTAGTCCTTCCAGGTCATCCTGGTAGAGGCATTCCAGATGTGCATTCCTGATCATTTTAGGGTGGCTGTAGCTTTTAGTGCTTTGACTTCATAACTGGTGTATTTTCCAGTTTGTAAGCAATGTTGATGCAGGTCTGTGTTGTCATCTGAATTTATTAGACATGAAATGAAAATCCTGAGCCTCAAGCTTACAAAAAGCAAAGTCTTTCTATGTTCAAAGGTATCAGGAGGAGAAAATGAAATGCAGATTTTGGAAGCTCTGAAACGGTACAGTGAAAGGGCATGCTTTGTGAAGGAGGCCTTCTTTCACCTTTTTACTCAGACGTGTTTTATGAGAATTACAAAGCCTGAAATCCTAAAGGTAAGAGAGATTTGCTTGAAAGAAAGATTTGCCTGAAATAATTGTTTTCAGATCATTAGAATGTGGCCAGATCTGATCAATATTGTTTAAATTTTGGTTCCCCCCCAGCTTAACTCCAGCAGCTCCTGCCTGTACCCTCAAAAGATTTAGATAACTATTTATTTCAATATTTTCTTCTAACATGTATTGTTCTAATTTTGTTGCTATTGTGCTTCATATTACAGCTTGTGATTATTGGAATGAGGAATCACCCTTTGGACTTGGCAGTACAATTAACTGCTAGTGCCTGTGCCCTTAACTTAACTAGACAAGGCCTAGCAGCAGGCATGCCTGTTCGTCTGCTCTCCAGTGTAATCCAGTTGCTCCTCAAAGCAATGGAAACCTTTCCTGAACAGCAGCAGGTAAGGATATGTGGTAGGAAGACACAGTTGCAGTTAAATCATTCTAATAGGGTAGGAGGCCTTACAGAATTTGCCTTTCTAGTACTACAGGTTTGCCAAGCAAATTTAAGACACCAGAACATTAGAACAAATGCTGCACAAAAATATTGAATTATGTTTGAGGGTGGTGAAACAAATATATACCATCTGCAGTACAAATACAGTAGGACGTTGGACATTAGTGGACTGTGTTGGCTCAATTCATGCCCCAACCACATGGCACACATGGATAGGGCATGCCCCCTATACCCTATAGGGTTTGTGGCATTGTGAAGTAGTCCAGTGTCAGCTTCAGCAAAGGTCAGTGCTCCACACAGGTTGTTTTTGCTGTTATGTGCCATCAAGCCATTTCCAATGGCTGGTAACCCTATGAATGAAAGCCCTCCAAGCTGGCATAGGCAATGAGTTGTTTCACTTATGTTGTTCTGTTCACCTTTTCAGTCAGCAGTTAAATGATGATTTTTGAGAAATTTATATTTCACTTTTGGAGTTGCATCATAAAGCTTAAACAAAATCCAGCCTTTGAGGCAGTTGTTTCTACACTCTGTAGGACATCTTTCCTTTGGTTCCCTGGATACTTCCTGATTGGTTATGTTGGGGCTGCTTTCAAAACATCTTGAACATTTGGGGATATCTCTTATAGACACCACATGCATTCAGATGCTTGAAATATTTTAGATCTCAACAGGAATATTGTATAATAGGAACAGATACCCCTTTTAAAGAAAACTGATACGTTCCAAGAAATTTAAAGGCAATATTTCATTTCTTTGTTTAATTGAGAAGAAAGGGCAAGTGAGAAGATACCATACAGCCAGTAAAGCTACTTTCATTTTTGCCCAGTATTTTCTGTTCTGGTAGCAGGTCTCCAAGGACCCAGCCAGATGTCTTTTACAATCCTGATAATACTTTAATCTTGTCAAGTCTTGAATTATGAATCCTCTTAAAACAAAATGTGGGCCTTACTACAGGACTATGTTCCTTGCCCATTGACATTATCCTCTGAAGGACAGTGACGTACACTTCTGACATTGGGCATGAAGGAAATGCAGTTTGTTTTTATGGAGTCCTACTGTATTTTTCCCCTTGCCATTTTAAAGATCTCACTCAAGAGTGTCATGTGGCAGTGATGTTCAGAGAGAAAATATGTTTAATCTTTGTCACTAAACCAGATGCCTCCCTTTAAGATGCAAATCATTACAGTGTTGTTTTTTAAAATCATCTATTTTGTGAGTGTCTATAATAATTAAATTCTAGTTTTCATACTCAGAACTTGATGATACTGAGCTTCTCCTCTCTGTCTATTTCCACATAGCTCCAGAAGAACTGTCTCCTTTCATTATCTAGTGTCAGAATCCTGCAAGATGTTCCTTTTAACAGGCAAGTGACACTCTAATTGAATACTGTATGGTAGGCCAAGGCAGCTGTAGGCCTAAAAGCCTAATGTGGCCCACAGAGTTCTTCTTTTTGGTCCCCTGTATAGTTTCTTTCTCTCTCTTCTCCTTCCCAGCTTAAAACTCAAGGCTATCTCCTTTCTCATGTGCATGCTCATTAGATAAAGACCTGTTTAAGCTGCTCTTCTCACATGGAGGAATAATAGAGAACACTTGGACAGAGTTTCTTCCTTGAATATTCATCCCAAGACCCATGTAAATATGATGCTAGATTCTTGCAGAAGTAGCACGCCATGGGACTAGGGCATGACATTGAAACCAGATGTGCTAGTGCTGGCTCTATTGACCAGATACTGCTAGCATGGTTTAGGCACTGACAGAGTGCCTGTCACTGTTTGCTCTAGGACAGGGTCAGAGATGCTTTTGATCTGCCGGCAGAAGGGGTAAATGGTAGAAACCCCACTCAGTTACTAGCTTCTTTACTTAGACAGATCTCAGGTAGCCATGCTGGAAAAGCCTGAGGCTTTGGGGACTGGTAGGTAGTATTGAATCAAATGGATGAGTGGCTGGAGTCACTATTCAGTTGAAGGCATGCTGGGAGTTGTAGGCCGTTTCTCTAAACCCACATGGGACTGTGCTCTGCTCAGGCTACTCTTACTGATGAGAGGGGTTGGATAAGCAACTTCTTGCCTGCATCTTGTTTGGGGAAGCAGCCAGAAGTTGTTTTGAGCCTTGCTCAAGCCAAAATATGAATTGTGTTTCTCTGCTTAAGGTTTGCCAAGTAAATACTCTGACAATGTTTTGAAATTTTAGGTTTGCAGCTGCCAAATTTGTTGTTCAGTGGCTATGTAACCAGGAAAATCAACATATTCAAAGAATTGCAGTTAATATAATCTCTATCCTAGCACTTAAGGTATGTGGTTTTTACGTTTGATCTGGAGCGGTCAGATCAATGGTGATTCCAGAATTAGGTTTACAATTTGGTTTGTTTTCAGCTTTCAGATGAGCAAGCTGCACAACTAACTTCAGAGTTCTACATTGTTGTTGGGGTGAGTTGTTTATGTATTTCCCTATATAATGGCATTTTGGGCAGGCTAAGGGGGAAAGAGGGGAGTACTTTATTTGAATTTGCACTTCCCATATATTTATACTATAGTATTAAGGGAGTTTTCCTTTTTTTTAATAAGTAGAAACTTCTTGAAATAGTTGAACAGAAAACAAATCAGAATGAATTAGATACAACTTTCCATTTTACATTGAGCGCACTTTGGAATCTCACAGATGAAGCTCCAACTACATGTGGCCACTTCATGGACAACAAAGGTTTGGAGCTGTTCATGAGAGTCTTAGAGGTAAACATGGCATTGTCTTTCTAACTTACCGCTAAAGAGAACTCTGTATAACATTAATAGTTCCATTTCTTTCTCTTCACAGACTTTTTCTTCAGACTCTTCTATACAACATAAAGTTCTTGGCCTCCTGGTAAGATAAGAAGCAAGTGCAGTATCCTAGAATTGTTAACGGTGTTCTTAGTGTAAATATGCCATTTACCATATCATAATGATAAAGTTAATCCTTCTTGTCTTTGCTTCTCCAGTCTTCATGAAAAGACTAGAGATTAAATTGAAGTAAAATTACCTCAAAGAAGTTGCTTTTGCTATAGAATTCTTCCTTGAGTTGATGTGCATTGGTGAAGCACTGAACTACATGTGTGTATTATGTGCCATCAAGTCATCTCTAAATTACGGTCTCCCTGTGAATGAAATCCCTCGAAAATGTCCTGTCCATGATAGCTTGCTCTGCTCTTCTAAGTTCAGAGCCGTGGCTTCCTCTTGGCTTCAGTCCATCTCATATTTAGTCTGCCCTTTGTCTTCTGCCTTCAACTTTCCTTAAGTACTGAAATACATTCTAATTCCATATAGGGTGGAATAGCAGATAATGAAGCATTGGCCCATTGGGCTTTTGAGGAAATTAAATTAATAAGGTACAGTGAGTAATCATACTGTCACATCTTTTTCATGATCAACTTTTTTGGTCCTGTTGTGTATCAGAATAACGTATCAGAAGTGAAAGAACTACATCCCAAGTTAATGCAGAAGGACTTCATAGAACATGTCAGTGAACTGCTGAGCAGTGTTGAGATGGAAGTCAGTTACTTCTCAGCTGGGATTATTGCCAATTTGCTATCGAGAGGAGAACAAGCATGGACATTGAGTCAAACACAGAGAAGATCCCTGATTGAAAAACTGGTATGGTGAACTAGATCACAATTCTAACTTTAGAGCATTATCAAGGTTGACTGAAAAACTTGACACTTTTCAATGTTCCCTCTGTTACAGCACTCAGCTCTTTTGAAGTGGCCAACACCAGAGTGCAAGATGGTAGCACTACCTGCCTATAGGTACGTGTGTCAAAATACCGTATTTTTCGCTCTATAAGACGCACCTGACCATAAGACGCACCTAGTCTTTAGAGGAGGAAAACAAGAAAAAAATATTCTGAATCAAATGGTTTACTAAACTATTTAATAAACTATAACAGAATACAGTAATACCGTATTTCAACCTTGTAAAGTGAACAGCAGTCAACAGTGGCATTAAGAACCATCATCACTGTCATTAACAAAAGAGAGACTTTAAAGTTCGAGTACTCTTCTAGTTTCGTTGAACCCATAGAACTCATCATCACTAGAGTCAGAATTTATGAAGCTCTGTTGCTCACAATCACTGACATCACTTTCTTAGTCAGTAGTGGAATTATTGACGGAATCCACAATCTACACCAGTTATACAAGAGCAGACAATTCAATAACAAATCTAAAAAGCCAGTAATGTCCACGCTGCCCTACTAGTAAATAATAGAAAAAAACTTCTGACAAAAAATGAGATATTGTATGGTAAATCAAACACACAGCGGACTAAGTAGCCTTTGAAGAATAAACTTCATACACAAAGGTAATGCTGTTCAGATATCCACTGATCCTAAAAAAAATGTGTCTGATCAACTAACAGAGAACTGATCCATGGAAAGCTTCCTGATAATCACAGGCACATTCCTCATCACTTCTCCATGGACTTCATTAAAAGACGGGTTGCCATTTGAAAACACACACCGACCTGTGATTAATAGCTCTCACCTGCACCGGAGGAGGGGGGCGGAGCAGGGCGCGCCAAGTGCATGCCGGCCAGGTGGGGCCAGGTGGGGCTGGCAGCCTGCCAGCGGTGGTCTTCTGGGCAGCACGGCGGCAGTGGCAGGTCTTCCCAGGTGGTGGGAGTGAGCAGTCCGTCTCTCCGTGTGGCCGGCGGGTTAAAGCCCGCAGCTCCTCCGCACGCCTCCCCCTGAGCGGCACAGCTCTCACCTGCGCCGGAGGGAGGGGGCGGAGCAGGGCGTGCCGAGCGCGTGCCGGCCAGGTGGTGCCACGTGGTGCAGGCGGGCCGGCAGCGTCCCGGGCGTCGGGCGCACACACATTCGCTCTATAAGATGCACAGACATTTCCCCTTACTTTTGAGGGGGAAAAAGTGCATCTTATAGAGCGAAAAATACAGTATATCTTAAGACATCAACTGCATATTTACTGTGATCTGTTGAGTAGGGACTTCATAAAAAGTATTGTTTGGAATCAAATGTGCAAAATAATCTGCACTGAATAGCACAAGACCTGCTATGTAGAACCCTAGTGATTTCACTGGATTAGATCAAAAATCCACGTTTTTTGAGGTTTGCCTCTAAAGGCAAGGGCAGGCATAATGTTGGGGATTGCCTGAGCATGGCCGTGTCATAAGAATCAGCGTACAAGTTGTGTGCCCTCCTCTCCCTAGCTCAGATTGTACTTGATGTTAAGGCTAACCCTGGTTTCCTTTTAGTCAGGCTTGGAATCTGGTTAGCAAACACTGTTGAGGAACCAGGGTAGCGTTCATATTGGCAGTGATGATAATGCTTAGCTGTGGTAAAGGAACAAGTGCAACAAGGATTTGTACTTAAGAAGGAAAGTGAGTGAGGAAGAAGACATGGAGCATTTGATCCCCAGAGAGGTTTGCCTGGTGCCGTCACTTTATTCTTTTCGATGCCAGACAAAACCTTTTTATTGTCCCAGTGTTTTAAGACCTGACTGTTTTAAGTGGGGTTTTTATTACTGCTAAATTTTAGGACACTGAGCTTTAATTATTTTTTTTCTTTCCTTACATATTATTGTTAAATCATCCCGAGACTTTGGTAATAGGACAGTCTACAAAATTTTTAAATAAATAAAATAATGATCCAATAGCCCACTACTAATTTCTAGACCATGGTTAAGACAGGTATAGTGGGTTTTCCATATTGTGAGAAAATAAGCACTATGTATTTCTCTGGACCATTTTAATATGGTGTATTTTGCATTTTTGCTCCTACTGTTTGACAGGTTATTTCTTTTCCTCCCCTTGCATTACAAAATAACCCCTGCCACCCATTTTGATGCCTTATACTATTCTAGAAAATCTCTGATTTGGGATCTCAACAACCAGCCCTTCCTTCATCATATGTTTGTGTCTTGTACTAACACTTTTGTAGGGACTTAGCATTTATATATCTCAATGAGCATAGGTCTGACGCATGCTGAACTTTAAAATTTGTATCCTACCCTTGTTTTCACAGTGGCACTTGCAGGACATCCTAAAAAGTAGTAGGATTCAGTTGAATATTCCAAGTCCATACCATGTGTTCTGTAGGATTCAGAGTATATTTGCTGATAGTGTTATGTGACATGACAGTATATTTACTGGGAAATGACGGAAATGCTTCTTTAATCTATAGATCCCTCAGACCTTTTTACCCATTGCTTGACTGTTTTGCATTACCTGGCGTACAGATCTGGGCAGCCTGGGCGATCCTCCATGTCTGTTGTAAAACACGTATGTACTTTCCTTTACTTTAAGTATTTGATTTTCATGTTCATCCTTAAAAGCCAGCTGGGAAAAAAATCTCACTTAACTTTTTAAATCTGAAGATGCAAATGTATGGTGTATCACAGACCCAATGCCAAATCATGGTTTGACATTCAGGCACACCTCGACAGGCTCATGCAGCCCTGTACTGCCAGTGTCACTAATCATCCCTTGCTGTGATGTCTAGCTTAGCGCCTTGCTTTCTAGCCAGAGTTTTGAATCCAGTTTCTGAAATGGCTTTGCAAACTGTGATTTGGCAAAACTATCTCTAGTACCTCCAAATCAGGTGACATGGCAATTTCTGATTAGTCAAATATTAGGAAGAAAAAGAAGGCACCCCATGTGCCAAGAAGAGAGGAAGGCGTGCGTGAGCCTGTGGGGGCATTCTGTAGTTGTCAAACTAGTTTTGCATCATGTCTGATTTGACCCATTTATATCTGAAAGCTTGCTTTTATATTTGCAAAAACACAAGTGTGTGACAGCCAGACATGCAATACTTTAGAGGAGACTGAAAGAAACTGATTAAAACTATCTCCACGATTCTTTGGATAATAGCTCTCGCTCTTAAACCTGATCTGCACCAGGAGCTAAATGAAGGAGTACTCCTATTTAAGTGCACATTCGTGTGTCATAGGATACTGCTGCTGAGTTAACCTACTGATGGAAATGCTCATAATGGCTCTAGTTTACCTGCAAAGCATTATGAATCACATTCTGTAATGAGAGTCCATAGATACCTGTCTTCATTACATCGCTCTGTGGCTGTGACATGGAGTTGTGAAGAATAGCTCCAGGAGAGTGGTACACAAGACAAAACTCGGGGCCTCATTCTTGATTGTGGAGAGGAATTAGCTTGGCCCCTGCAATTGCTTGTGGGGCAGGTGCGGAGACTGATGATGCTATTTCTCTCTGCTGTTCCTTTTCATTATTTCAATAAAGAACTAAGACCTCTACAGTAGAGTAAGATCTTGGTGCAGCACTTCAGTGGGAGTAAGTTCTCGATAATCCTAATGGCAGGAACAAAATGCGTTTTCCTCACAACTGTGTGGGTATACTGGCTGTGGTATTGAATAGTTAGCTGGTTTTAGTGCTTTTTAAAAAGTTGCTTCTTTCCTGGTTATTTCAGTGTAAGACATGCTTTTTATACTTAGCAGGTAGCTAGATGCTTTGGACAGCACCTGCTATAATCTTTGACCATTGGCATGCTGATTAGGGTTAATGGGAATTGTAGTTCAATACATCTGGAGGATACCCTGGTCTAGAGAACTTGAAGGCACAATCTTGTCTGTGTTTACACTGAAAAAAGCCCTACAACTGCCAAAATAGTTGGCTGTGGAATGCAGAGTATTGTTCAGAAAAAAATCCTACTTGCATAGGATTGCACCCTAGGTGAGGGAAGGGCACTAAATATTCCTTCTCATACAGTCTAAGTTTTAGTTCTCTGGTGCACACTGTAGCAAATAAACACTTGGAAACTCAATGAAGAGTTAACTGCTTGCTATGTCTATTGCATTCCACCTTGAAATTTCTGTAGTAATAATCTCAAGTGCAAAGAAGTGAGGCATTAATGGGTGCAGGAGTCAACTAGCTTGAATTTGGAAGAGCTGCCTGACCTAACTCCAGTGAACCCAATATAGGTATTTTAATATTGTTCTTTTCATGATGGATCTTATAGTGAACATACTTTTGTTTTCCTCCAGCTGCCAGATACTGTGCAATATTAATAGAAGAAAATGGAGTACAGCACTTATATAATATCAAAGAAAATGTTCAGAGTGATCCAGACGTCCAGTATCTAACAACTGAAATACTAACTTATATGGATACTCACATGAAATATTATGGGAAACCTAAGCACTTAAAGGAGCCACAAGCCAAATCAAATGGATAACTGATGCTACACTGTACCTTCTTCCTGTAGTTTTCACAAGCTTTTGTGCTGGTGATTTCTTATCCTTTCACAGTCATTTCAGATCAAGATGGCTCTTCCTATACGATCTGAAGATACCTGTATGGTATGCACGCTTGGAAGTCCTCTCTAGCTAATTGCTTTCATTTGTAACTTGTGACAAGAAGAGTGGGGCACCGTCCCTTATGAAACCATGTAGTGGCTTACCACAAAGAAATTGAATAGAGCCTGGCCACTAACTCTATTGCAAGCCACTAATCTTTATAGTGGCAGGAAATGGGGACTTTGAAAGCACTTGTTCTTGGGCTAGTCATCCTTAGTTTGACAGCTGAGGAACTGTTCCGTCCATGTGTATCAGCAAGAGGCAGGTTATGGTCACCAAGAGAAAATGATTGATTGATGTTACCACTTCAAGGTGAAACTGTTTTCTACATCCACAAACCGAGGAGTGAGGGAAAGAGTGTTTTGAAAATAATGGGTAGGGGAACACCAGCTTGTTCCAGCTAAATGTTGGATTTGTCTGAAGGCATTAGGCCCGTCACAAGCTTTCATGAGCTTCTTATACACATTTCTGAGTGGGGACTGTGTATGTTTGAGAGGGGATTCTGGCTTCTTGTCAATTGTGCAGCATATTACCATGATTTGACAGAAGGTGCTGTGTAACTGTATTTTGGGAGTATATATACAAACTATTTTTGTATGAGGTCTGGGGTTCTTTCAAGGTGCTTTAATATCTAAAATAAAAGGCATGTCCAATTATGGCACTTTAAGATGATTGTAAGTTATGTCTATTATCAACCTGGATAGCATTAAGGTTGAGGAGAAGCCTTTCTTTGAAATAAATCTTGCAGGTAGCAAGTTCACTTCGTGTGTGACTGGCATAATAAAGACATTATTTCAGTAGTTGTAAAACAGAATGCTTTGTGCTACCAGGGTGGGGGGTTCTCCAATGCAAGAGAGACAAAGATCTACATAAAAAATAAAATGGCTCTTTTGTCTAATTACTGGCACAATTCTTGATAGGGGCCCATGGTTGTTTCAGAGTGAAAAACGTCATCATCTACCCTAACAAAGTTCCAAATTCTCCTTTAAATATATGTGTTTATCCAGCAGATGCTCTCTGACAGACATCAGTCATAAAGAATATCTTCTATGATATGTAACTGTGGTATCGAAAGAATGTGAAAGCAAAATACTTTCCTTAGCTCCTTAATTTTTAGTCAAATAAGCAATAAGATTCTGCTTACTGAGAAAATGGACTCACATCTTCAAGATGTACCAACTTAGCCTCTTTTGGTCTTTATGAGGTGGTATCTAGCCCTCATCCATATCCTTCTAGAGTTTTATTGCTTCAAAAGGGACAGAAGAGAAATTCAAACATTCACTCAATATAACAATTTATGTTTAAAAAAAAAAAAAAACCCCTAGCAAGGCACAGCCTTTCAGTTCCCAGAGTTGTCTTTAGGCATCTGAACACAGCTTGGCAGCATCACTTCCCAATGAACTTGGGTGGTCGTTTCTCTATGAAAGCAGCCATCCCTTCTTGACGGTCTCTGGTAGGGATATTCTGTATTTAAAATACAATAGGGGAGGTATTAATGCTATGTTTTCTAATTTCAACCAACCTTGAGGTGTACAAAAATACGATTGATTTAAAGCTTTTCTATCTCATCCTACAGAACATCTCAGGATGGCTTACAATAGCCTGCTCAGTCTTTTTCCCACTGTCTATTTTTCCCAGTTAAACTCTAATGTTAGTAAAGGCTAAAATGGCCCAAGTGTATTGCACTGAGCAACAGCTTTTGAATGGCCTTTTTGAACATTTTGTAAACTTCATTGGGTATACATATAGCTTTTCCTTGGAGTAAGATAAATTCTTCTTCAACTGTATTATTCTGCACTCAGGTACTTGAGGAAAGTTAATTATGTCAAATAAGTTTTTGAAGAATGCAACAGCATATTTTGTAATAGTATTTGGTTACCAAATTTCACAACCAAAGCTTAGCTCCACACAGTTAATCTTCTTAACATCTAGGACTAAATATTAAGCAATCCAGAGCCATCCAAACACCTTGGACTAAAATGCCAATGAACTTCAGAGTCAGCATGCTCAATAGGCAGAAATTGGTAACTGTAGTCCAAAATATCTGGAAGGTATATGTCCTATATGGAAGGAAAGCAGCTTTTTAAAATAAAAATTGAGTTTATCCTACCTGAGCATAACACATTCGTTCAATAGCCATCCCAGAGGCAATATCCACCTGAAAAAGGAAAAGGAAATGGTATCCTACTTATATGCTAAAAGATTCCTAAAATACTAGCTATTGTATATTTTCTTGATGGATTTAATAAATAGTGTGCTTTAGCATATTAGAATGGGTTGGATTTTATAAGTGCTATGTGCACATTAGCTAGAAAGATAAACAACATGTTGTAGCATATGTAGGCCTGATAAGCTACCTGAAATCCATTTAGTCGTCTCAGCTGTTCTAAGGCATGACTCTCTGTACCAAACAATGAGTCTTATGCCACTTTAAGATTGACAGCTTTATTGTAGCAAAAGATGTTATGACCTAGAGCTCTCTGTATCAGCTGCATGCATTTGATGAAGTCAGATTTAGTCTAGGGTCTTCTGTCTGAGGGCCAAATTCCCTTACTGGGAACCTTTTATGGACATTCACATTTGCTATCCATGGATAAAATTTTCTTTTCTCTACTTTTCTCAATACTTCCTCCCCCATGCCCCATATAGCACCTGGGATATTTAAAAAATCTTTATTGGCATAATTGAAGGGGTTTTTTTTAACAAAAGGAAAAGATTAACTGTTCCATTGGAGAAGGGGGACAACTTGGCTGGAGAGAACTAACCTTTTCATCCCTATGTATAACACCCCCCCCCCCACAGTGCATTGGAGCCAAGCCTAAGTGCTATGCAGGAAGGTGATTTTGAGAAGTCCACAAAAGCTTCTGTTTTAATAAATCTGTCTTTAAGGTATTCAATGACTATTTGCAATTGTAGATTAACATAGTTACTTCTCCGGAACTATTATGCACTCAGTCTTTGCCTAAGAATGATTAGGAATGAAGCTCTTTCTCTCAGTTGCTTGTACTGCATAGGGGAAGTGTTGTTGGAAGCAGAAAAAAGGAAGAGTGGTTGGACAAGATGGAGTTGCAGGGACAAAGCGATGGTAGAAGAAGTGAGTGTAACACAAAGTTTATGTTAAACTTCTTTAACAAATGATTACCTCGCTTCCTCTGTTTATAGCCACTTTACCCATTTTCACAGCTATCGGGGCCTTTTAGAAGAAAAGAAACATTTATAAGGTTTCGGCAAGGGGCGGCATAGAAATGTTATAATAATAATAATAATAATAATAATAATAATAATAATAATAATAGTAAGCAGTCAGAAACACATGAACATGAACAGAATCCTATTCAGAACTGTGAGAGGGCCTTACCAGAGCTTCTAATTATATCTAGCAGTTTTGAAATAAGCAGTATACAAGAGACTTGCCTTTAGATGGAAATAAAGGGTTCCCACAATAGAGAAAGTCAACAAGATGTTTCAAGGATCTATTTATTGCAGTTGTTAAAGGAACAATGAAGTATCTTGTGTTTGCAGAAGAAGGTGTAAACACAAAACAAAAACCCAAGCTGCTTAACTTGGCAATAGTGTCAGTGTAATGAAGCTCAGTGAAGAAGCCTGGAGGAAATACTAGCTTTACCTACACACCACTCAAACAGGAAATCCATGTTCTTAATACCTCTGGTGTTAAAATCTATGGTGTAAGCCCCTAGTTTAAATAGTCATAGAGGGCAGATTTATCAAGAGGCCCCCTTATCGTGTTATTTCTCCTGTGCCTTTTGTCAGCTTCTTGGATTCATCTAGCTGTCAGTTCTAGAGGTAAATTACTGAAGTTTTGGATTCATTGAGGAATCTATACATCTACTTATCCAGGAATCAGTATTACTATTTATGCAACAACATGGGTATCTGTGATACCCTACAGAATTATATTAAAAAAATAGACATATCTTACACTCTAAAGATAAAGGGTGTGGGGAGGGAGGAGAAAGAGAAATCACAAAACAGAATTCAAATCTGAATTCACTGCCTAGGTAAATCACTGGGAAGTATTCAAAAGTGTTAGTCCATAAACTCAAATAACCGTAGTGGAGCACTACCAAACATTTGTGCATTGCCTCAGCATTATCACATGGCCCATTTCTAAAAGTGGTTGTACAATCCTTGGGCAAGCAGGACTTTAGCCAGATTCTCTCCTTGCACATTTTTTAGACTATAGCTGCCACAGTGGCATACTGCCCACTGTAGGTTTCAGCAAAATTACCTATTCTTGAGTTTACATTTTGGTTTGCACTGGCATATTCTTTAGGGAGGAAGAAAAGGATGGTGCAGTGAACAGAAGCCTTACATTATTTAAAAACATGCATGTACAGCAGAAAGGTTCAGATGATACAGAAAACTTGAAAACTCACCCGAGGAACAATCTCTTCAGCCAAAGCAAGTGCTCTTTTGTAAGCTGCATCTCCTTCCTTATTCTGAGGTACTGTGTGATTAACTAACCCTATTGAGAATGCCTCTTGTCCATCAATCTGTCTACCAGTGAAAATCAATTCTTTAGCTAGGCCTGTTCCAATACAGCGTGGTAAACGCTGGGTTCCACCTAGATAGAAAAACCAGCATAATTCAAGAAGCCAATTATACATAAAGTGTTTAATTACCAAAGTGAAAATATGTACTTAAAGCTATGGTTGTCACTCAAGCTTCTCTACTGCATGGTTCTCTCATCTGTATATGAACCCATTTCCATTCTGATTTATTAATGGTAACACAGTCCTATTTGCGGTAAGAGAGAAGAAAGGAGGGAAACCCCTCCTCCAAGTCATCGCATTCCCCAGCCAGCCATTCAATTAAAGATACTTGGAAGGGAGTGGGGAGGTCCTGTCTAGGGCCTTTCTTGGTTAAACTCATCATGTTACCCAGTTACAATAGTGCAAGCAAATGAAAATGCAGCTACATTAGTTACATTACCTGCGCCAGGGAAAAGTCCTCTGGTAGTTTCGATCAGTCCCATTTTAGCTGATGAAGCTAAAATTTAAAAAAAATGGGGAGAGAGAAAGTTACATAGCACAAGCATACTACATGTTTAATAGAGGTTAAATGTGTTAAGCTTTGCTTGGATTTTGCTTATGATGATGCACTTGGAAGAATTCTGGAGAATAACTCCAACTGTCAGCCTATGCCAGGTGGTAATGGCAGAAACCCAACAATCTTTATTTGAATTCTTAAGTGTGCATCTAGAAGAAGACACTTGTGCCAGTGTACTCACCCGCCACTCGAAGATCACAGGCTAGTGCCAGTTCTAAGCCACCACCCAATGCATAACCTTCAATTGCAGCAATAGTAGGCATTGGTAGTGCAGCTGTAAAAATTAAAGGATTCATTGAGTGCAGCCATAAATCTATCCAATAAAGTAGGCAAGATCTTTCATGGTAATCTACAGGCATTTTTAGGTATTTTTGGACCCACATCAGCATTTTCTAGACCAATGTTAATGAACTTGTCACTCTGATTTGTTTATATTAGAAGAATTGTCTCATGCAGATTAGGTGATTGCAAGCTGCTTACCAATGCCATCCATTAAACTTCTGAGCCTTTGAACAAAATGATCAGTTTCACTATCGGACATCTGGGCGCGCTCTTTCAAGTCAGCACCTGCGATCATAGCAACAGAGAACCTTTTGGGAAAACAGAAACAGGAGACCGTGGCTGCGTTCACACATCCCACCATCTGTTTCTTCTGCACGGATGTGCTTGATGGGCAATCGGGCTCAGCATAGTATTCTTGTGCCCCCTGCCATTTTCTTCCCCCTCAGTCCTCCAGACAGTGCCCCAGCAGGCACCATGGGGAGGAATGAGGCCCCTTGCTTTGACAGCTTGCGAATTGTGTTTGGCTCACTGTGGCTGTCAAGCAGTCTCTGATGCACAAGCAGGGCTCATGTGCTGCAGCACTGTTCAGTTATTCCCCCTCTGCCCCTCAGCACATGCCAGAGCAAAGCACCTCAGACGACTGCTTGCAAGTCAGCAGCAGGTGCAAGAAGCAACTGGCCGGGGCACAGAAAGGAGCAGCACCACTCGGTTGATTCCACTTCTGCCCCTTTGCATATGCCAGAGCACATGCCTTGTGTGTGTGTGAACAAGCAGCAGTGGCCGGAAGCAGCTGGGTGTCAGCAGTGGTTCCTTCTTTCTTGCTCTGGCTTTCCAAGAGGTGTTCCCAAGCCTGTACCTACATGGGAACCAGGTTGAGGAAATCTCTTTGGCAAGCTTGAGCAAGGAAGGGGAGCGGTAAGGGAATTCACTGCAGCACACAGTCCCCACTGTTTCATGTCCCTGCCACTGGCTCCTTTGCTCATGAGGCTTTGCTCTGCCTCGTGCCAAGAGACAGAGGTGGAATCAACGGAGCAGTGCTACTGAGCTATTTCTTGTTCCTGCCCTGATTTGGAGCAAAGAAGTGCTTCACTCTGGCATGTGCAAAAGGGTGGTGCCAGGTAATCCACTTCAGTATGCAGCTCCCAACCAGGCACCATCACTGGCAACCAATTGCATCCCTCTCTGTTGCTCACAGGAAAGGGATGGAGGGATGGAGGGATGCACATGGAGGGATGCACTGTGGCACACAGCCCTCAGTGGGGCATCACTGCTCAGTAGATTCTTGCCATTTGAATTTGTGCAGGAGTAGCGGCAGGTTGAGCAGTACTGCTCTTTTCCCAGCGGTGACCAGCTGCTCCCATTCCTGTCCCAAAGATTATCTTTAGAGCAGGAGTTGGGAGGAGCAGGGATGCCTCTGACAACTGTCAGCGGTGCTCTGGTTGGATGCTTCACAAGAATGGCAGTTCTGGCCTCAGCATCTGAAGTGCACTAGCTCAGATGACACAACAAGCAATGGCGGTACTTGGATACCACAAAGCATTTGATGTTTCTGTCCACAATTTCTCAAAACCAAGCATACCATGTGGGAGTACGACGACAGGGTTCGCCTAACACAAAAGACCAAGACAGATACAAACCCATTGCTTGTCATGTTGTGCCGATCTGCCCAAGGTGTTCAGAGACAACGCTTCTATGCCTCAATCTGTTCTGTGAACTACAATGGAATCTTGCAGCCCAATCCTATGTAGAAGTGTACCTACCTCTGCATAGCACTGGACTGTTAAAGTGACACTAGTAGATTTGTCAGAAATGGATCAAAAAATCCAGTTTTAGGAAAGCTTTTCAGCTTAGAGGCTCTTTAAAACAATTATGATGGCGTGAGATATGCATTTCTCATCCTTTTCCCTACATAAATGCTATGTCCTACCAGAATGCCCAGTGTACTGCTCATTCATTACAGTTGCATTCATTTGTTGCATCATACTGTCTTGTGCTAGCATATTTCACAAGCTTACTTTGGTTGCAGTAAGATCTTAGCTGAGCATGACAGTCAAATTCAGGACACTGAGGAATATAAATTTTGCACCACTGGTTGGTAATATAAACAAAGCAAAATGAATGAAGATGTGATTAAGACAAGCTGCTCACTTCAGTGGTTTAGCAAAGCAAGACTAACAAGGCTTCCATGGAAAATTTCAGTGTTAACATAGCTTATGCCATTATAAAGGCTATGTTGCAATTCCCTAATTGTTTGCCAATGCAGAAAATACCCACTAACCATTTCAGAGGGTATTTCTCAGATTGTGAAAGATCAGTGCTATAAACAACATTGTAAGGTCATAACAAAACCAACACTAATGTGAAACATAGGGAAAAATGGTCATTTTTCCATGCTAAGAATATCACCTATAAAACACAGTAGTAGGCTCTTCTTCTATGCCGACAGCTCCCCCCTCCCCCCCCACTTTCAGTCAAATCACTTACCTGATCAGAAAGCCACTTGCTGAAACTAGTTTTCCATAGAAACCAATTTTGGATATGTGACTATATAAATTATTAAATAGAATACTTGCATAGAATTGTAAGCAGTAATTGTAAGGCTGCAATGCTCAGGAGACTGACTTCAGTGAGATTTGAACGCAATCCTGTGCATGTTTAGAGAGGAGAAAAAATCCTACAATTCCCAGCATTCTCAACCAGCCACATGTTCTTTTTAAAGGACTGTGCCCTAAATCATGAACTGTGATTTATGTGTTATTATAATAATGTGTTATTATGCTAAGGGTCTTAGCTGTTATGTAGACATGAGTTTATCTTAAAAAGGGCTAATTCTCAAATTACATCTTAATGCCACAGGAAGGCTGTCAAAGCTCCTTAACAATGTATTCTACAAAAAAATATTCAACTTGCAATTCTTGCTTTTGAGATAGATGTTTCTAAACTGACAAAAGTATGCAAGGCACAGCAAAAGCAAGAAATGAATTGATGCAGGAAGCATCTTTAATAAATCCAAGCAAACAAACATGGAATTATGGGATTTATACACTATTTCAATTTTATTTCCTGTAGCCTTTCATATTTTTCTGCCTTTCAATTTATCTTAAAACAGAAAATGCCCTCACTTACCTGCACAAAACACTCCTTCTACATTGCTCTTAACTATCACCACACGGACACTTTCATCAAAATGGAGAACATCAAGAGTTTCATACAGCTGAGGAGGAGGAGACAATCAGTTCAGAATTTAATCCATGGAAATATTCTACCAAAGTCTGTAGATTTTCTTTATTATACAATTATTGCTGAAAATGGCAATCGGTAGGGTACATACACACAGGTATGGAATAAATTTTCAGCATGCCATATTGTGGTCTATAATCCTTACTATGTACATATTTGACTACTTCCTGTACACTTGTGCTCCATTCCAAAATCAACAAAATCTGTTCAAGTCTAAGCTACAGAGGAAGTGGCTGAAAATTATCATGCTCTTGTACACAGATACTTGTTTCAATAGGATCAATATAATGCAAGATTAGAGTAAGATATTCACTTACTTCATCCACAAGCTTTTTCCCCAGTGAATTTCTGGCATGTGGTCTGTTCATCAGAATTTCTGCAATACCTTAACTCCAAATATATATAATAATAATTAAAATACACTTTTTAAAAATCTCATAATTTATTGATTTCTTATTTGTTTAAAGGATTTCAAAGACTGTCTTTCAGCCTATGTTTCCAAGACTGTGCCAACACAATACTAAGAAAATGCATATTTGGGAGCATTTTCCTTTGTTAAGTAAAGAGTAAATACCTCACAACACAATCTAACCTCAGGGCATCATCTTTTCTAGGTGGGAATATTGCTCTTTTAAAGTTAATCCAATTTGCAGCCAAAAAAGTGGATTTCTAGGTCACAGATTCTAGTTGGACATTTCCCATTATCCTCAGCCCAAGACATCTGGATGGCTCTGAACTGTGGAAAACCAGACAAAGTCTGTGTAGAAAGGGGCAACTTGCTTTTGGTCTGCAAGCCACATGCCAAATCCCATCCAGTTAGGAAAATACATACTGACATTTTCATGTATTGCTCAAATCAAAGCTGAAATGCACTGAGAAGTAGTGACCTTCCTGCAACAAATCATGTAAGGAAGATGTCTGGATTGTCTGCAAACCAGTGTTACCAGAATCAGCCATTTTTAAAGTTACTGATACAAGCCCCGAGGTTCAGCAAAAGTGATCTTTGTGGGGGAACAGTGCATTTTAGTGGGTCTAACCCTTTTTCCAGTTGCCCTCTTGGATGCTTCTATAGTGTTGGTGATTGTTCTCAAGTCTCATTAATACAAGTACAATTGAGACAGGGGCTATAACAACCCTGGATATAGTCCGGTATTATCCACCGTTTTAGGGGAAGGCTGAAGTTGAAAGCTGTATCATTCTCCATAGTTCTCTAATGCTGGCCTGGGATAGGGAATGGTACAACTTTGAGTCCCTAACTTCTGTGGACCCTTTCTGAGTTATGATCCTGGTTGTTTTCTTTACAATGCAGAAGTGTCCATGTTGTTGCTGTTTTCAGCCTTCCCTCTCTGTGACCAAACACTGGAACTCAGTGAGATCCAAGCACATGTTCTAGAGACCTGAAGGTGTCCCCTATGAGTTTAATGGGCAAGTGCATAGGATATCTTGAACACTGGGCTACGAAAACCTGTCACTGTACGGTAGAAGGCAGAGGGAAGGAGGCTGGATTCCCTAACAGCCTGTTTGCGCCATGTCCTTCTAGATTCCGTTCCTTCAAGTTGCTACGTACTGATCTGCGCCTTCCCCAAGCAGTTAGTAAGTGGGCGAGGTCCGCGAGCGGCGTGACGATTGGTTATTGGCAAGGCCTCCAGGACTGAGACAGCTACAGAGAACAACATTTATTGCTGGTTATCGCCCCGAGAACTTTGGCTATTGGGCAGTATAGCTGCCGAATAACTAAATGATAACACAGAGAGGCAGGCGAGATAGGGGCTTGCATGATCAGCTGCCACCTCAACCCGTAGAAAAACCCTTGTTTTGGCTGCAATACGACTCCTCGCTGGCGATGGTTGCAAAAAGCAGTAGCATCCGTATTGGCCGCAGGAAGCATTTCTCTGGGTCCGTATTCTAAAATTCATACGGATTTTGGAGTACTGTACGACCACCTATGCATGACGTTCGCCTTACTGCAAGGCTGCTGCTTTTCCGCCACAACCGCCTCGTCTGTACTTGCTGGCCTTCGCATCCTCCAGGCGCTCGACTTCGAGCGCGTCCCGGAGAAGGGCTGCGGGCGCCACTCACCGCAATTCGCCTCTCCATGGACGCGTAAGAGGATCTCCCTTTCCCTCCCTCCGGACGCGGCTCTTCTGGGGAAGCCGCCACGTGCCCACGGCCCAAGTGGAGAAAGCCCCTCGGCCGCGAGTGTCCGGAGCAAAATGGCTCCTTTCCACAGGCGCAGCATCGCTCCCATTTCGACTTCTGGGGCAGTCAAGCGCCTTCGCTTCCTTCCCCGCCGCTGGAGCTGGGCCGGAGGAGGGCAAGAGAGGGGCACCGCCTCCTGCGAGGCTAAGGGTCCGTCCAGCGGGCGCGGCTTTTAACTAAGCAGGAAACTGGAGTTCTCCCTTAGGGAGGGACCACGCGAGTCTTTATGGTCCGAGGAGACCCGTGCTTTGGGGTCACTTGGCTTATGCTTCAGTAGGAACGCCGAAGAATTGAAGCCTGTGAATTATGGTGCTGGAGAAGCCTCCTGCGAGTCCCTTGGACTGCAAGGCAATCAAACCAGTCTATCTTAAAGATCAACCTTGACTGCTCTTTAGAAGGCCAGAACCTAAAAATGAAACTCAAATACTCTGGCCACCTAATGAGAAGGAAGGACTCACTGGAGAAGAGCCTAATGCTGGGAACAATAGATGGCAAAAGAAGAAGGAGACAGCAGAAAATGAGGTGGTTAATTGGAGTCACTAAAGCAGTTGGTGTGAGCTTGAGTGGACTCCGGGGGATGGTGGAGGACAGGAAGGCCTGGAGGAATGTTGTCCATGGGGTCGCGATGGGTCGGACACGACTTCCCGACTAACAACAACAACAAGGATCTTGTGCTCGGTCAGCAGCAAAAAGCAGGTCCCAGCGTGCTGTTTGCTGCTAGGGAGGTGCTCTCTTCTTTTTTTGCTTTTGAATAACTCTTCCCCCCCCCCACAGGATTTTTAATACATTCATTTTATGGTTGTTACATTTATATCCCGGCTTTGCACCCAAAGACTCCAAGGTGGTATTTATCCTCCTAAGTCATATTATCCTCATTTACAATCCTGTGAGGTGAATTAAATTGAGAGTCAGCGACTGTCTCAAAGTTTTATTGCTGGATTACTTTGAATTTCTTCCTTCTGGGAAGAAAATGGCCTCAAGAGATCTTGTTACATCTGATCCAACAAAAGCTTATTTTCCATTTATATTGGATAGCACAATACCTCTTCAATAAAAGATTAGCTGTTGTAGTTGTCGTACACCCAGAGTCCTCTTACTGCGCAACTCATGTTTACTTCTTGAACATTAAACACCCTTAGGACAGGGAGAGACCATCTCCACCAGTGCAATGGATTAAAGATCTGTTGACTTGAACACCACCTACAAATGGATAATTATAAAGATCTCTGTCTTTGTTGAAATTTACACATACTTTTTCAATTAAGAATACCACACACATTTATTTATTTAAAGATTTAAATACCGTTCTTCAGCCAACCAACCCCCCCACTAGTATACAAAATAAGTGTATAAATTCTATATGTATTAATTGCAACAGATATATTTAAGCTTTATGCAATGTAAACTATTATATTGGTTTTATGTTTTGGGGTGGGGTGTTTTTGATTTGCAATAAAAATGTATAAAAAAGAAAATACTGCTTAAGACTATCTCCTCTTGAACGAGCTAATTAACTTTGCTGCTTGGGATGCACAGAATCCTAATGCTTATACCACTTTAAGTTCAGTGGTATGTTCAGAGCAAGACCTTAGGACCAAAGACCAGGGCCTGATTTTGCAGAATCAGCTGGACCACACCAAATATGGCAGGGATGGCATTCCACAGTTTTGAATTGAAGTAATAACTTTGCCATCCAAAAAAGATTCCCCCACCCCCACACCCCTGAAGTCTAACAACGTCTTCCTCCGATTTCTTCCTCAGAGAGGTCCGCCTGGCGCAGTCATTATTTGCTTTTCGGCGCCAGGCGAAGACCTTTTTATTTAAAAGTTATTTTAACTGTTGGTTTATTATTATTGTATTTATAGATTTTAATATACAGCCGAGATGGTACCAGTTTTTAAATTATTGATTGTATTTTTATGGATGTTGTGAGCCGCCCCGAGGCTTTGTTGCAATGGGGGCGGCATAGAAATGTTTTAAATAAATAAATAAATAAATAAAATTTCAACCCTGCCTGCCGGCTGGGCGTCACGACATCCGGAGGGCGCCAGGCTGGGGAACACTGCTCTACAAGCACCTTTTCTTGTGTGCTTCACAATATGAACATGTCCAGAAGGGTTCCCTGATAAGACCCCGGTCGAAAAATCACCTGGCTGCAGCACTGACTACAATTCCCAGAATGCAACAATATTTCGAGGGCGACCCCTTGGGGAAGACTGTCAGGCATGCTGGTGCTTTAAGAGCGCGCAGGCGAGGACGAGGCGAGCCATAGCTGAGCGCCGTATGACGCCGCGCCTTCTTTCAACCTTTGCGTCGGATTCTTGCTGGAGTCGCGGGGCGGGGACTCCCCCTTGACGGCAGAACTTGTTAGAAGCGACGCGAGTGAGAAACACGGCGGGACAGTTCCGGACTGCAGCGATGATCCCGTCAGAAAGGAGGGTGTTTGTGGTGGGAGTCGGCATGACCAAGGTAAGTGGGCAGAGTATTCCCTCGATCTCTGATTTCGCTGCAGGTGGAGGCAAGGGTAAAGGGAAGAAGAAGAGCTTTTCTGGCATGTCTCGCACTGTAACAGTATGCTGTTGATGATAATGCGTCCGAAGTGATTGACACCAACACGTTCAGAAATCCATAATTAATATAAATGGGGAACGGGACCCAACACCAATATAAACAAAGGAAAAAACCAATTAAAACAATGCAAAAACAATACATATTCTAGTCATCCACAGAATCCTGAAGCTACCTCCCTCCCCAACAACATCCTGGAACTAACCCGAAAAGCAACCTCTACCAACCGCTGTGTTAAAAATGGCTTAATTGGATTTTGTATATTGAAATTTGTATGCAGTATTGTAGTCTGTGTTTTTACAAATTTTTGAGAACTACCCGGAGAACTTTGGCTGTTGGGTAATATACAAATCAATAAATAAAATAGGTTGAAATTTTTTATTTAAATAAAAACATACTACAAAGAATAAATAAAATAGGGCTGTAATTAATGTCCAACTCCCTGGACATGTACTGCGCTTTCATTACAACTGTCTGCCAAAGAGCTAAGAGCAGCATGCATGTCTATTGGGACTTTACACTTTGTAGAAGTATCTCTCCATGACTTTAAAAAAGGTTACTTCCAGCTAAGTATTTTCAGAGGGCAGCTGAGTTGGTTTATTTTAGCAAAAGCAGAAACACCCCTTATGAACCTGAGGGAACATTTGCTTTGTTTGTTTTAATTTTGGGGATGGTCTCTTGTTCAAGGGCACAGGACCCCCAAGAGCACCTACTCATTTTGATTCAAGTCCAGCATTGCCAACATCCTTGTCTATTTCATCCACTTCATAAAAAGGAAACATAATTTTCTGAGCCCTTATGAACCTGAGAATGTCTGAGAAAAGAGGGTGACGGTGCACACTTCATGGAAAAACAGTGCAGTAATAGTCATTTGCACCTGTGCATTTGTACAGGACTGCAAGTTAAAAATAAATAAATGTGCAAATGCATGCTAGATAATCTGGTGCGCTTTCTTCAAGCTTCCTGCAAAAAAGCAGGTAAGCAAAATCCATCCTGAGGCCTGTGGCTGAGAAGGAAATAGTAGGAATGGTAGAGACAGTAGCAAGCTCACAAGAAGAGGCTGGGGGCTTTACGGTTCTTGCTGGCCAGTCCTTTTGCCATGTCTGACAACCAATGAAAAAAAAATCACCTGCCAGGTTTCAAGAACACACCATGTGGAACAATACATGCATTCTAAGCATGACTTGCTTACACAAGACTATCATGGGAAAACTGTTCTAGGTTTGGACAACCCACAAAGCTACTCTGCAGCTACCCTCAAAAACCCACTTTGGCTTAGCTTGATAAGTGAACCCAGAGTTTTATCCTAATCTCCTTTAGGAATTCCTTTGCTCCACCTTGGCCACTGGAGGATCTGTGATTGTGTCCCAGTGACTGATGTACTATCCTACTGATTCTGAATGTTGCAATTTCTAATGATAGAGTTGTATCCACATGTGCTTTTCTTTAGAGCCTAACCTGTGTGCCCCCTGTAGAATACACAAGGGCAGGGCGACAGCTGTTCTATAAATGACCATTGTAAATAATGCATCATCACTTTCTGCACTGAATTTGTTCCCAAGCTCACCATTTACAATTCTCCAAGCACATGACTGCTGCCACATGTATTATGTAAAAAACTTGAAACTCTTCTGAATACTCCATGCATCTAATGAAATGGATTATAGTCCATGAAAGTTTATGCCAGAGTAAATCTGTTAGTCTTAAAGACAGAAGCGATAAATTTATGGCTTTCCAGATGTTTTGATCTACAACTCTGTCAGCCCTGGTCAGCACAGACAGTGGTGAGGGCTGGCTAGGTTAAGACATGTGATTTGCCCACTTCTCAAAGGTACCACAAGTCTATTGTTTTTCCGGATAAGTGTGCATAGGATTGCAACCCTGAATGCACAACTGTATGAACTAATTTAGGCTGACAGAGACTGACTGGTATGGCGCTCTACCATAAGAAATTCAATGGGTAGAGTGCTCATTTGACTACATGGGAAAGCGTTGTTAGAGGCATAGGATTATTACTAGGAAAATAAAGTTGCACTGTTCTCTCTGCTTGATTCTTTTAGTTTAAATTTGTGCTCAGTAATCTTCCATAGGTTGCAAAGGGATAGAAGTTAATCTCCATTTTTTCCCTGAGAGGTTTATGAGCTACAACAAGCCTTTCAACTGCTCTTGCCTCATACAACTCTCCTGAAAAACTCACCCACGCTCTTGCCTTCATCTCATATCATAGCAATACTTAGTGCTTTTATCGTCTTCAGAGTGCTCAAAGTATATTAACTTTAGTATTCCTTACAACAGCTCTGTAAGGTAGGTCAGTATTACCGTTGTATTGCAGAGGATCATTGCTATAGCTCTTTTTATGCCCCATCTTCTGCTTTACTAAGGTTTTAGAACATTGTTGTTCTAACCTATGGTCTAACCTTTACTAACCTTGACCCTCTTCAACCTTTGTACTCTTCTTTCCAACAGTTTGAAAAGCCTGGAAGCCATGACAAAGATTATCCTGATTTTGCTAAAGAAGCAGGTAATAATTAACTGTTCCATTAAAACTTGTGTGCCTGGCCCTCAAGGTGGTTATATAAGCTCCACAGTACTGACAGTCGTCTGATACAAAAAACCCTAAGCTTGTGTGGGCTTTGAAGACTTCATGTCTTAGCTGTTATGCAAAAGTTGCAGCTGTGTCCCAGAGCAATTGCAGCAGTCCCTGCATGGTGCCATAGATCTGTAGAGTCCTGTCATTTGGCTGATTGTATATTTTATTTATTTATTTTTGGATTTATATCCTGCCTTTTTCCTACAAAGGGCTCAAGGCAGCTTACATCATTCTCCTCCATCTTATCCCCACAACAACAACCCTGTGAGGTAGGTTGGGCTGAGA